CTGATGCCACCTCCTTTCAATAGAAGTTCAGAAATGAGCAGCCCATGACCTACCTTTCCCGAGTAGAGGCCTGTCTCAGCATTCTTCTTCTTGGCGATTTTGACGAACTCTATCAGAGACCTGACAATCACCTGTCCCCAATTTATGGAGAGTCTGCTGATCTTCTGCTGGTTTACAGAGAGTCTCAAGCTCTTCTGACAAGAGAAAGTCCAGCAGAATACCATAGGTACTTCTGAGGAGCAAAAGGCTAACAGAGGATCTCTTAGGCAGAACTACAACAGAGGGTCTTCAGGTCTTCTGCCAGTCGACTACTCTAAGAAGCCTTTTAAAAAAAAATTCTAATACATCAACTCTAATAGGGGTACTCTCAAGTCTTAATCGAACTAGCATCATCAAAATCTAAACACATTTATTCCTTACATGCTTAAATCATGTTTTTGTGAATAAATATTCTTGAACATGATATGAATGATAAGTAATGGACTTGATCATGAATTGAAATCATATTGATGAATATGGAGTCATGTGAGATAGAAGTATGCTAATATGGTAAATTGACCTTTCCAACTCATGTATGAATGTTATGTGTATGTAAATGTATAATTGCATGATGATGCTTAACACATGGGAGGCTGCCACATATCTATTGATATGGAGGGGCTACCATTAATGATAGATGAGTTGTAGGAATAATCTTAATAGTATTGTGATGCTAGTTAAGGATTGTCCTAAATGTGTTAGAATCAAACTTAAGGTTTGAGTTTGTTTGTGATGAACTTGAATGAGATTCAAGTGTCAATTGTGATTTCATGGAGTAAGAGATCTATGGTGTGATTGCATGGAGTAGGAGATCTATGGTGTGATTGTATGAAGTAGGAGATCTATGGGATGAATACACGAAGTAGGAGATCTATGATATGATTACATGAAGTAGGAGATCTATGATGCGAGTGCATGATGATGTACTCGAGCCGAACTCTAGAAATGAGAAGTTATATTAGGGTTGGACCCTATGTATGTCGTGACCATTAGTCACGGGTTTTGGAAAATGTTTTGTGATAAACATGCAATGGGCCTTTGAGCCGACTACTTGACTTTATATAAAGTAAGTATATATTTTGAAGGGGTAATTTGGGATTACAGCCTAAACTATATTATCACCCTATTTGAGGGTCTTGTGTGTGAAATACTTGTTGTATATCTATTAGATGCCTGCCACACCAGTACTTTATAGCCGTATAGAGTACTGACCCCTTCGGGGGCGTCCCACCACCATTTCAGGTTGAGGCTAGAGCTTGCATCCTGTGCTCGTTGATCGAGTGATTCCTAGGAGGGAAGACTTGGTTCGTGCTTCCTCCATTCTATTTGAAACATTAATAAATTTGCTCATGGACATTTTACTATAGAGCCTGCGTGCTCATGAAATGCCTTGTGTGGCCTTCTTGTTTAAAACAATGTTTTCCGTTGCGTTATGAATTACTTATTATGTTTGTTTATGGATGTATATGTGTGAATGATATTCAAGACCCTTGTATAATATGAATGTGTTGGACCGCGGTTGACTATTCGTATTGTACGGCGGGTTGTTGACGTGTCCGGATAGGTCCGGGGCGTGACAAAAACACTCATTGCGTACAACATAATCAACAATGAAGAAGGAAAGTGTATGTATCACTAGAGAGCTAAGTATAAAGTACCATGTATTATGTCTCTCACAGAGTATAGCTTCAATCTAACAGGAGGATACACTGATAATCTCATATTAAGTCCCCTAAACCCCTAAACATTTGTAAAAAAAAAAGAGTAAAAGATAAGCAAAAAAAGAGTAAAATATAAGCTCCCTAACTACTAATTGTAAACCATGGTTGCTCTTGTGCTCTTTACCTGGAACAAATCCACCACCAAGCACTCTTTGAACTTCATTTCCAAAGAGTCTATATCTAAATACCGAAGCGTTAATCATTTTCACTTTTCTGTATTGATATCAAGAGCCCTTCAAAATTAAATATAAACTTATGAAATATAAGTAAACACCGAGTTCTTAATCAAACAACCCAATAAAATTGTAAATCACTTAGAATATATGAGGCACGTATAAACAATGAAAGTGATAATTCGGAAAATTATTCATCCATCAGTGAAAGAGAGGATGGGGTATTGGAAATGACAAAAGGAGTCTAAAGAAGAAAATGATGACAAAGATGTTGGGAAAAAACAACAACTTGAAATTGATAGTATGGACCAATTGCATTATTCTTACATGAATTCTATCTACAAGAAAACATCCCTATCATCGAATTTCTTATTTTAATGTTTCTAATTATCCTTAATCACGGAGAAGAATAGAGAGGTTCCCAATCAAATTCTTAATTGCACCATCATAATAGGTTTCATCATAGGACAGAAAATTAATACTGGAGAGGGTTAAACTTACCGGCGTTTTTTGTTCAGCAACATCAATAGGATCGCAGGGGATGATGTTGCCATATTTTTGCAGCAAAGTCAGTGGGAGTGTATGGGATGATGCTGCCGTTTTTTCTATTCAGCTTTCGCTTAAAAAGCCTGGGCTAGGGATTGTAAGATGTTTAGACTTTGTTGAGGACTTAATTGCAAATACTAATTAAGTAGATAATTAATGGTGATGTGGCATAATTCTTGAAGGTTACGTTATTGGTTAACAAATGTTGGGTACCGACGACACCCATAAATTTTAACAAGCACCGTGGAATTTTCCATTCTATTAACATAGTCAAGTTCTATAAACATAGTCAAAGGTTCAATTTAGCTTTATCTCTAGTATAAATTATTATTGTAGAATCGTTAAAGTTACGCATCATAAGTGTAGATTGAGAGTATGTTTTGTCATACTAAAATTAGTTGAATTGGATGATTTTGTTGAAAATTATTAAATTTTGATTGAAACACCAGAATCAACTTAAAAGAATGTTAATTCATATGGCATAATTTCATCTTTTCCGATGGAGTCCGACTTGTTTTTGGTCATTAGTGTTTGAAAATAAACACTAATGACCAAAAACACACTTCCTTTCTAATGGAAAATTACTAAGAAAACAGAAATTCTTTACATACGACTAAAGTATGACATATTTGTATATATTTTTATGAATGAGAGCTTGTATAATTCAGTGTTGACAATGCACCAAGAGAACTAGGCGACCAGAATTCAATTGTTTTAACTAGAATTTCTTAAATTTTATAGATTCAATTGGTTTAACACATTTGAGTAAAACTACGTACTCACCCCAAATTTAAAAAATGTCCTACTTTTTAAATTAAAAATTTTTGTGTAAAATATTTTTCAAAAATATCATTTAACTGACCAAGTGCCCTGTCTCTGCCCCTATACGTACCATATAGACTCCCCAATTTCAGTAACCAAATAGGCTCTTACTCTTGATCTCTATTACTTTCTATGTTCTAAATGGTTAATCCCCAACCCCAAAAGCCACTCACGACTCGACCTGAGAATGCTTTCTGTTTTGTATACTTCCTCCGTTCTTTAATTCTTGCAATATTGTAACTTTTGCACTATTCACAGACCTTACTTTGACCACAATTTTCTACTAATATACATAATCAAATTATTACGTATAAAATGTTATTGAATTTCTATCATTGTGAATTTCCAAAATATCAACTTTTATAATGTTTACTAATACATAATTAAATATAATTACAGTCAAAGTTGTGTGGTGACAAACGTGAAAGTCAAATTGTTGCAAGAATTAAAGAAGAGAGGATAGTATAAGATACTTGAGCATCTGCCCAACACGTTTTTGAGTTCTACAATCCCACTCCCTTTAATTGGTTTTGTTTGAGAATGAAAAAGGAGCAATTAAAATAATACTAGCGAAGTACTACCTCCGTCCCATTTTATGTCTCTCCTTTGGTTTTGGTACAATTTTTAATAAAATGGTTGAAAAGTTAAAAGTTGTGATTGAGATTTGAGTATAGTAAAATAAAATATTGTGAACCACATATTTCTTTCCAAAAAGGGAAATGTGATACTTATTTTGGGACAACCTAAAAAGGAAAGTAAGACAAGTAAAATGGGACGGAGGGAGTATGTTTTACACCTACGTGATAATAATATATGTGGGGAGAATTGGGAATTCGATTGCTACAATATGCATGGATGGAGAAAACGGGGATCAGGGTGGTCAGTTGACTCCTCTGAAAGTTTGAGAATATAGAATTCTTAAATACCTTCGAATAGATATATTATGGCCCTCATAACTCGTTACGAGTATAACGGTGTGACTTCTAGAAAATCAGCAATATCTTAACGCAATATGAACAAAATTTGATGCGTAATATTGAATATTTTCCCAAAATTTAAAACTAATATAACGTGTAATTCACTCATTGCTTACGTGACATGACTCAGATATAAAGCAAACTCAATCTATCTTAGTGTTACGAGTGTCTACTCAATAGCCGATTGTTTTCTGGTAAGGAATCTCGATATTAAGCCAGATGAGCAAGTAACTATTAGAGTTTCGGGATAAGACAAAAGGTATCATTCGAGAATCGAGAGAGTCTGGGTGCAAAATCTCATCGACTAAACATGTACTGCTTACGCCCGTTAAAACTTGACCAAGTTTGACCGGCACGAGAATTAATAAAGTAAAATATGCGTGATTGAAGTTTGTGCAGAGGAAAGAATTAAATGCAACCACAAATTCTTATTTAAAATGAAAAATGACAAAGTTAGTGAGAAAACAAAAAAGAGAAAGTTTGCAAAGTGTAAGAGACGGAAGGAGTATAAAGCATTTATATTATACAGAGTACTATTATATGACTTATACATCAAATCCATAAATCTATATATTAGTCTCATCTAAAAAATATTTAGATAAACTGCATATGAAACATTAAATTCGTGCATTGTCTAAAAATAACCATCATTCTCATTTTGTGTATAGTTTGGTGAGCCATTTTTGTAGCTCCACCGCTGCAAATATGTTTTCCCTTGCATGGCAAATTTAACGTGAAAATTATATTGAGATTAAATACTCCGGATTAAAGAACTAAATCACCCTAGACACAATTAATTAATTGTCTAAATAAATATAATAATCCATAATAATCATAAGAGATGCTCTCATCAATCTCTTGCAACTGATTGACCGGTACTCTAGCAGAGTACAGATTAAATACAGAAAGAGACAAATAAGATATGATAACAAAAAAAAATGAAGCCGGTAGTAATAACTACATAGGTTAAATATATATAATTAAGGAAGCTAATTATATTAAGGCAGGCAGAACAATTTCTTAATTAATCTCAACTCATTGATATGATGATCGGCGGTGATGAGTTCTCTAATTACAGAAGCAATGCCAGAATATCGATCGGCCGGAGACGATAGATAAGCTTCCGGCGATCAGGATTGCGGCAGTTTTTTGCCCAGGGTATGCTTGTTGTTGTGCATCCACACCTTGAACACGTGCCGCTTCAGGTTCGCCTCCGCGCAGAACTGCTGCACCACCGCCTCGTCCTCCTTCTGTATCCGCCACTCCAGCCGCTCCGCCACCGCCATCATCTTCTCCCTCTGCTCCGCCGAGAACTTCGTCCTGAACCGCTTCTTCGACCCTCCCCCGCCGCCGCCGCCGCTCGGATCCATCGACATGTCCTCCTCGTCCCGCCGGAGCGCCGCCAGCGGCTGCGGCACGTGGAGGTACCCGCCGTGGTACGAGGAGAAATTCGTCGAGAGGAGCTGCTGCTGGTGGTTGTTTTGGTGGTGGTGAGGCGCGTAGCCCTCACTCTCCGTCACTTTGCGGTGGAAGTTGCGGTGGCAATTGCACGCGGCGCATTTGAGCGCGTCGAGACTCCCGTCCTCTCCCGCCGGCATGAACTCGCCGCATCCGTCCAGCGCGTGCCCTCCAATCCCCACCGCGTGGTTCTTTAGGCATTCTCTGTACCGAAAGTAATAGCCGTAGCCGGTGCTCTTCCTCCCGCCGCCTCCCGCCGCCGCGCCGGAGTTTCCATAATCCTCTTCTATTTCCCCTTCGCGTTGCATCTCACGCTCTTCAACAAACTCCATGATTCTCTTCTACTTCACTTCTGCTTAATTAAATTGTATGATATTTGGTTATTGATTGATCGAATTAAAATAAAATGCTTAGCTAAAGCAAAACATTCACATATGTGAATGTGCATAAATATATGGTTTGAGTTTAATTAGCTAATAAGGGTATTTATAGTTGAGGAAGTTGAAGATGAAATAGGAAGAGACATTTAAAGCAAAACAATGATTAGTGATAGAAGAAGGAGATGAGGGGAAATAACAAAGCTTATACTATCTTCCTCCCAAAATGAGAGTCCCAAAGTTGTGGTTGAGATTTGAGTTGAAAAAAGTGAAATAATGTTGACGACATCTTTCTTTCCAAAATGAGAAATAGAAATATCAATTTGGGACGACCCAGAAAAGAAATACGGAGTTTGAGACAATTGGGAATAGCTAAGATGGAAAAGAATGGGTGGGCATGATTATATCGTACTTCCCTTTCTCAAACATATATATATATAAATACTCTGATAATATAACAAATATAAAAGTAATAATATAATATTGTTGTTAAATGAAATACAGGGAAGGTTAGTAGCTAGACACTACTAGAGTAATTAATAATGTGTTTCATTTTGGCTCTCTTAATTATTAACACCCAACCCTAAACTACTACTATATCAATAAGCTTAGGTAATACATGCTCTTACTTCTAGGGCAACCACCTTGCTGAAGTTGGGTTTCAATGGTAGTAAGACATTTGGCAAGGTCAATGAGTCTAGCTTTGACTTTAATTGGTCAACTCCTATTGACGTATGAACAGACATTTTTTATGAAACATTTTGAGCCCATTTGATTCTGATGTTATTCAGCTTATCAGACTAATCAGTCATTTCTTTCCACCAAATACTTAATTTTTGATTTTGCGTGCAAAGTAGTGTAATAATAAGAAAAAGTAAGATTGTCGTTATTTTTCTAGTTATATTGGCTGAAATTATTGTAGAAAATCAATTTAACTATTTTTCACATAAATTTTTCCTTTATATTATTGAAACATATTTTAAGTATAATCTTTTTTCATAAATCAACAGAATCAACTAGTACAACCACTTCAGTCGCAATTTCATAAATTTCAGCATAATCAGCGGATTCAGCCGATTTTAGTTACCAAACGAGGTCTAAATTTTTTATTTTGCACTCATAAGGCTAACCGCAACCCAACGCCGTCAATAAATCAAATTTCCCATCAATGTATTCGTATTCACTGTGTCGATTTAGTTTTTACTCCAATTCAGCACCGTCAATATATTCAGTTATCAATGTTTTTTCTTTAATTAATGTCTTCCTTTTATTATTATAAATCATTTTTTTGTTTACTTTTTTGCGAATAATTATGATTTTAAAAGTCGAACATTTCGATGTTAAAATAAATATATTTGGAGTTTAATTTTGTTTTCGTTAATTTATAACTATTTTTGAAAAAAATAATTGAAATGGGTAAAAAATTATTTTAAACATAAGGTCTTAATTTTAGCACTTGGGTCTACTTAATAAAAATTTTGAACATAAAAATCTTCAACAGATGAAAATTTATATTTTAATTTTTTAACTTTTATATATACAATATTGATGTCATATGAAAGGTAATAAAAAATATAAATTTTGATATACTTTTTATAAAAATTGAAATACTAATTAAAAAGTTATAATCCATTTAAAATATTTGGGATTTGTTTATTTCACTAACCCACATTTGTTAGAATGCCATGACGGAACTGCAACACCATTCTCTCTCTGTGAATGAGGTTCGGAATTCCCACTAGATACGTGCTATATTACCAGGTTTGGCACGCATGAATACGTGGATTGGAGTAAATTTGGGAGTGAAAGAATCAAATTTGGCTTTTCACCCTCGGGGCTTGCAGGCAGCCTAAGTGTGCAATAATCAGAACAAATTAAATAAGATTATAATACAATCCGAGTAAGTTTAGTGAAATGGTACACCTTAATTACATGAAATATTTTTTTGTCATTTTATTCATAAAATTTACTTTAATGGTGAAATAATTACATATGCATTATTAAAATAAAGATGATGAGCAAAAATGTGATATATAACACTATGGTATATTAGTAACTTCTATTTATTATATCCATATTCAATTTTACATGATAATGATTCACATTTTAACTTTACTCCCATTTTCAGTTTTCCCATGAGTTTCAATATTCGATAATATTTTAGGAAAATACTCTTTAATGAGCTAGTCTCTTTTCATCTGGCCCTTAGTTGTAAGATATAATGATCCTCATAAGCTCGAACTAGCTAGACATTGATACTTGTAATCTATTGTATTGATTCGCATCCTTTGTATAAACATTGAAAAGAAGTGTCATTAGGCCATATTAATGTGATGTATATGGTCTGATCATATCATTCTTTTCTTACCCGTTTTCATATTATTATACCCTAAATCTATGAGGAAGATTACCCCGAAGTCCCGAACATTCACAAGTTAGATTTTCGTGTCACGGTCGACATTAAACAACGTGGAGACAATTTTAGATCACGAAATCCCTTCTATTCCTTCATGGGAATATGGGGTATATTGTTGATGTAACGCTTAGATTTGTGATATTTTGCATTTAGACCTCATATGAACTAGTTTTTCGAAATAGTACTACGTACTATGTTAGGCTAAAAGATTTTGGAAACGTGTGATGTTGTACAAATAGGTTTTCAAAAGCAAGTGTTTACTATTCACTTCAAGAATAATATACTACCCTCTAGTCGTGTCCCGTTCCCACATACTAGGAGTTATCTCAACTTTCATTTAATAATATCAAATTCATTTGTAAATAAGTGTAACATGTTGTCACACTATTCACATATTCTATTTTGATAAGTGTAACATGTTGAATTTTACACTATTATTTATTAATGTGTTACTCCCTCCGTCTCAATTTGATGATACCATTACAGTTTACGATGTTTGATTGACGATAAAGCAAACAGATCCCTGTCCGCACTCAAATTAATTTTAGGGAAAAAATTACATATTCAAAAACTACATTAAAAGCTTTACAAATAGTCACAAACACCTGAATCAAATTTGATAAAAATTTGATATATAAAGTAAAAGATTAAGTGTTGATCATGTGAATAAGAATTGTTACCATCAAATAGGGACAGAGGTAGTATTATATTTCTTTGAAAAAATATATTAGTTTCAATACATATTATCCGTATATAATTAGGGTAGAGTTAACTTCACGCCCGTTTGGTGATCATGTTTTTGAGCTTACCAACCTCACCAGTCGATTTTTTTCACCAACTACATAACTTTTGATCTCGCTCATTGAGTTGTGTAATAATCAAAATAAGTAAGATTAGAGTTACTATTCTAGATGGATTGGTTTATGTTACTATAGAGGGTAATTTTATGTATTTTCATATAATTTTTCCTTTATTTTATTAAACAATATTTTAAATATAATTTTCTCATGAATCAACAAAATCAGCAAATTTAGCCACTTCGGTCTAAACTTTATAAATTTTAACAAAATAGATCGATTCTGCTAATTTCAATGTTATCAATCGGGCTCTAAACCTCATAATGGATTACAAATATATACAAGAATTGCAGTAAAATGTTTTTATTTAAACATGTGTCATATCAGACCAGACATGACATAAACAAATCATTTTGCAAACGTCACTTGGACAATATGATACTCTTATTTTGGGAATTTTCCTATTACACTCTTACCACACTAGATCAAATTTAAAAATGCAAGAATAAAAATTTATTCCAAGAAAAAACATTTAAACAAAAATACTAATGAATTATGTTTAATTTATTCAATTGGTACTTGATGTTTTCATGGGTGTAATAATATACTCTCTATGCCGCATTGGATTTTGTCAATTTACATTTTTTACCCTTCAAAACTTTATCTCTTTTCCTTTGAAAATAGTTAATTTATAGTTCTACTTATTTGGATCCCTTAACAACTTTCAATCATACACGGAGTAATTTTTATTTTTCTTATTTCACACCTAATACCATGGAAGAGGGTGTTTGGATCTGCTTATTAAATCCGCACGGGTAGCTCAGTTGGCAAAGTGGTGGGAAATTTGGACAATGACCAAGGTTCGAATCCCCGCAGCGATTGGGTGGAGGTCACAGAACCTGAAATAAAGCTGGACTTCTGGTGCGCACGGGCGTATGACCTACTGCCACTTAGCTGATTGAGTCACCGTGACTTACATCCTCCCATGTGCTCTGTCGGGTCGGGGCGTAGGGGGCGCTTGGGATTGGCGATTCAACCTTTTTTTGGACAATGGATCTGCTTATTAGAACTATTACTGTTCCTTGAGAGAGTAGAACTAAATACTAGTATAAAATATGAGAATGCTTAGATAAAAGTGCAGAACTGCTTTGCAGGGCTCATTTTTTTGGGAAAGGGCTCAAAATTATTTTAAGAATAAGTTTTTTGCAATTTTGAATCTACTATCCCTCCTTCCAATCTCGCAATTTTGCAAAACCAACCTCGCGATTTTAAAAGGAGAAAGAAATGAAATGGTAAAAAGGGTAAAGAATTAAATTTTAAGGCTGCATGATTTGGGGTGAGAATATTTAAGGCAAAAAATGGTAAAAGTAACATGGGTTCCGGAATTACTTTTCAGTAAGCATGAGAATGGAAGGTAGCGTGTCTGATCATCCGTATAGTGACGTCTTGTACACACTGCAAAAGCCTGCATGCATCTCTCCTCTGTTTTTCTGCCTACATTATTACGGATTATTATTATTATTACGGAGTATTTTAATACTATTTTTTTAATGGTCTATTTTAATACTATTATTATTATTATTTTTTTTTTTACCCGGGGCAATCCACTCTTGGTAGGGAAAGTGCCGGGGAAACTTTCCGAATTTATTAATGATAATTAAATGAAGTTACAATACAGAGAAGTGCAGAGAAGGGAAAAGTAAATGACAAAGATACAACATTAGCCATTGAAAGTTTTTGCTAGAAGAGAATAAATTAAGGAATAGAAGAGAATTTCTTTTTTAGTAGATAAGAATTAGAAGTGCATTATGTTCATGTACTTTTACTAAATTAATTCCACTTATAATCCTACAAGTTTCGTGTCAATTGCAAATATATATAGTCTATATTTTTTATTTTATTAAATTTTGATACTTGATTAATGTTTTTTAATTATCCGGGTTCATTCCGTCCAATATTTTGGCGCCTCTTCAGCAATTTTTACAACCTATTGACATTTTGAACAATAGAGCGTATAATAATAGTCATTTACCAAAGTGATTAAAGTAAAAAATATGGATAAATTGTGGAGTATGGGGGTGTTTGGATGTGATTCCCAAAACCGATTCTGCTCCTTCAGAGAGCGGAAGCAAAAGCTGGAGTGTTTGGGTGAAATTCCAGAAGAACTTCTGGAGCTCTAATTTACTCTCAGAATCAGTTTTTTTAGAAGCTGAGAGGTACCAGCTTCTGAAAACTGATTCTGATTCTGCTTCTGCTTTTAGAAAAGAAGCAGAAGCAGAATCAGTTCCAAACACCCCCTATAATTGGTGCATTACAAAGTACTAGTACATTTTATCCAAAATATTAATAAAATTCAAAGTGAATATAAATTTAAGATCAAATATATAATATAACCTGTATAATGCTTTAGAGCCTTTGGTAGCACAAAAATCGGTTGTTTTGGCTGATTCTGCTGAAATTTATGAAGTTCTGGCTGAAGTGGCTGCATTGGCTGATTCTGCTGATTTAGGAAAAAAATATTTTAAAAATACATTTTATTAATAAAATAAAGAAAAAATTATATGTAAAAATAACTAAAATAATCATCTACAGTAACTTCAGCCAATACAGTCAGAAAAGTAACTCCAACTCTACTTTTTCTACTTATTACACAATTCAGCGCGCAAAAGCAAAAGTTACGTGTTTAGTGAAAAAGCTGGCTGATAAGGCTGATAAGCCAAAAAACTGGATTGCCAAACGGGCTCTTAATTTCTCTAGCATTTATAGATCATGCAAAAAATTAAGGGGAAATATAACACTATTATTACTCACCGGTTCTGTAAATTGAGATTATTATTATTATTATTGTGTCAACTTTTATCAGAGAGGATGTTTTTTTTAAATGCATAAAAATGGAGATTATTAATGTCAATTTTGACTTACGCCTCATAATGAGAATTATTATACTTATTACGGAATACTACTAACTCTGTATGATTATTATCTATTATTACTATACATATGTTATTATTATTATTATTACTCTAATAATGATCGTTTTACTTTTGAATTACACTACACAAAAAATATGGGATTGACACGAATTTGAATGAATTCACCGATAATCTCATGCTAAACAGCTCGTGCCAAACTGTTTTTGGCACGAATTTGGCATATACTTGTCAAAATCCCTACTCCCTCCGTCCCATATTTATCTTCACAAGTACATTTGCACACATATTAAGATAGTGAGGAATGTGTGGTGGAGAGTTGTGCAGAGGAGAGAGAAATGTGTAAGAATGTGTAAGAATAGTTGTGAACTACAAATTCTTTGCCATAAAGGGAAAGAAGAAATAAATTCGGGACAGATGAAAAAGGAAAGTATGAAGATCATTCCAGAGGGAGTACTAATTTTAGGAAACAGCTACCATAAATCTGTGTCAATTCCGTTTTTTGTAGTGGGAGTTTTGAATCATTACATTTTAAATTACATACTCTTCTGAAGAATTTCATTGGTTTCAATTTTCATAAAATTAAATGTACCATAATAACAAAACATAATAACAAAACATAAAAACAAGATTGGACATTTACTTCAGAATACAGATCGAACGATGGTTGAGGAACATGGTACCCGGTCGATCAGTAAACAAAAACTCCGTACTGATTGGGTAAAAAAGAAAGTAAAAGATGCATGGTGGTTGCTGTTAATTAATACCAGCAGTACTTTGTAAAACAATGAACCACTCAGCTATGGCGAATATATATGGATATGGAGTAACATTGTGGGAAGATTTTGAAGTAAAACGTACCACAGTTATAATGGTGAGTAAATGAGTATCATCATTATTCTCAAAAAAGAACTCATTTTTACTTTGAAAAGATGCAGTTCTTTATTGTTTATTGACACTGTTAAAAATCTTATTTTCAGAATGAAACATGATTAACATACTTTATTTGTTGTGTTCATGTTTTGCTAATACTTCAAGAAATTTCTTATTTCTATTAGAGTCTATGCTCTCATTATTATGTTTAGAAATAAAAATATACTACTCCGTAGTAACTTTCTTCTTAAATAAATGCAACATGTCGAAATTTACATTATTCAATTGTTCTACTTTGACTACCATATACTACGTTCGTCCCTTAAAACTTTGCCAAAGTTGACCGGCATGGAAAATAATAAAGTAAACATTGTGTAGTTGAGGTTTATATAGAGGAGAGAGAAATAACATAAACCACACAATAATTGATTAAAAGGGAAAGTGACAAAGTTTTTTGGGATGTTCCAAAAAGGAAAGATGACAAAGTTTTAAGGGATGGAGGGAGTATTAATTAATGTATAATTTCAAATATATATTGTTAAATTTGTTTCATCCTAAATTTTCAAAAGTTGAATTATTTAAAAAAAAATTACTAAATGAGAATTAAATATAATAATGGTTAAAATTGTGCAATGGCGAACATGAAAAGTAGATTGTTGCATTTATTTAAGAACGGATGTAGTATTTGCTATCGCTAATAATTCAAGATTACATGCATAGAAAAATATTAAGGGGTCTGGAGCCTCTACCTTGCTTTACAGCAAGCTAGCCCAGTTCTTCACAGCCGTCCGATCGCAAAATTAAGGGCGGGAGATTTTGGGGTCCACTCTTTCGCCAATCTCGAGGCGATCGTGGTTGCTATATAGCCATCCCCTATTGCAAGAAACTATGTCGTATGACCGAGGATCCGGGTCCAAAATTAGGCCCAATTTTTTCTCTATATGCATGTACTGTGAGTGGGATTATTATTTAAGTTCAAACTACGCAGGCCTAATGTTTAATTTTGTTGATAACTTAAAAAATTTAAAATATAAGTAAAAAGTTTTACATTGAGCTGAGCCCAATTTGAAAAATATATACATTAATTTTAAATGGGAGTAGTTGTAGTTTTGTAAAGCAATGCAATTGCTGTTGAAACAATAAACGACTCTCCAATCTTCATGAAGTTTGATAGGCTTCTCCGTGGAACTTTAATTTTCGTTGAAATTTGGTGAGTATATTCCTCGTAATGTATAGATTATGTCCACAAAATTTCAGCCTAAAAGCCAATCAGGGAAGCAATTAAATAAATTATTTAAAAACATGACATTGTAATATATATATATATATATATATATATATATATATGAAGTATATATATAACTAAACAACACAGTGTTTTACAATTGCACATTTGACTGACTTTCTGATCAAAATTCAAATTTTTGTGGAGGTAATCTACACTTAATAGAGAACATGTTCACAACATTTCATACAAAAATCCACCGGGAAGTCCCTCAAATGGGATTGGCTTGATGATTTTTCTTGTTAGTTGAGAAGATAGTTGAATAATTTTTTTTAAACATAATGCGCTTTATTTATATATATAAAATGCATGTGGAAGGTTAGGCCGAAATACCCTCAAATGGGCTAGGCCGAACAGGGTCATGTCAGACAAGATCCTTACTCTACATATGTACAAAGTATATACATGTACATATACTTCATCCGTTTCAAACAGTGGCGGATTTTGAATTTGCATTTTGGGTGTTCAATTTGTTTTTACAACCAAGAATTTAAAGAACATTAAATAATTACACTAAATTTATCCATGTATACTTACACTTTTTTCAGATTTTTGGGTGTTCATGTGAATAGTTTTGAACAATGGCGGCTCCGCTACTGGTTTCAAAACCTGATAAAAAAAATGTAAATTGGATAAAAATTTGATGTGCTTCATATAAAGTAAAATATTAAAAATAAAATAATTTAAGTTAACCATGTGAATAATGGACGAGAACCTTCTACGAGAATCTTCTAATGGAACGGAGGTAGTAATAAATCCAGCTAGGCAGCTGGTGGCCCCGTGGAAGGTTACCCCAATGCATGCACGAGGTTAATGAAAGAAAGATGGAGATGCATGTGGTTTAAGAATCGGAAACAAGTTGAGGCTATCGGCGATAAGGAGACTTGTCGGCAATCTCCCTCACATGGATCGATCGCCACCGTGCTAGCTTGCTGCGGGGCCACCCCCACATGCCGAATTACTAGCTTCCCCCACATACATACATATATATTCACTTGACGCGACCTTTTTCCGCATTTGGAGCTGTTACTAACTCTCATATGCATGCCCGCCCATCGTCTGATCTCCAGGCCACCCACCTGCAGATAGACCCAACATTATTTGCAACCCACGCTAGCTGCAGGATCAAATTTTGTTCAATTATTTCGTAACTTCAAACCTAATAATGTATCGAATCATCATGCTAATAGGAATTTAAAAGTATTATTTTACATTTATTAATTATTAGTGTAAACATATCTAGGCCTGGCATTTTGAGCCAAAAAACGAAAACCGAAGCAAAAATAATCGAATCGCGTTGAAATAAATCGAACCGATAAATTTTGGGACCCGAAAAAATGGTTCGGAATCGGTTTATAAACTCTAAATATGGGTTTGGATCGAACCAAACCGAATTTTATTATTAACAATAATTGTTATTATTAGTACTAATCATAGTTAATAACATTTACAAAAGATACAATACAATATAGGAAAAATTGACACTAATAATCCAACCTTTACCCGGTCTTCCCAAAATGGTCCCAATTTTTAACAATCCAAAAACAAACCAACCTTTGTATCCTCTCTTCCGTCAACAATCCCTATGACTTGTGACCCGCTAAAACTCCTCTACGAAGCTGGAATACCTTCAACCCATTACGTCTATGGAGCAATAACAAAATTTGAAAGTTTCAGAAGTGGAAGATGGGCAGAGAACGACGGAGTGGACGACAGATTTTTACTGGTGCCGCCACTACGTTATTAATAGGTAAATTTTTGAATCCATACTCTCAAAAAGTAGTTTCTGGATAGCTTCTTAAATCTTAATCGTTTGGCTCGTAGTGTGTATATTTTATACGATTAAATATTGTGAAAGATGACCTAGTTTCCTTAATTATTTAGTATGTTCATTAGTATGGATTACCCACTACGTCCTGGGCTTATACCAAGAACCATCATGGTTCAACACTTCAACATACCTGCCAATCATGACTACTCAACACCAGAATTCCAAATTGGTATATCATGCACAAAATGATCAGGGAAGCACGTTCATCTCACTCTCATATGGAATAGAGTCGTATGGGATGAACAAAGTGCAAAGGGATGGTTCCAGGCATGGGTCTTACTTTGGTATTAAGTGTTTGATGAAATGCCACACCCGTGACATTTAACATTTTGTAAAAATTGAAACCATATTTTGAGTAATAATGAAGTCTGTTTAATTTAACTTGACCCACTTACCATCTGATGATAAATTTTTGAAGAAGTAAATTTAGTTTCTAATGAGGTTCTTACTAATATTGAGAGTGTTTTACAAGTGTCATTGAAAAAGCTAAGTGGTTAGTCCAAGGTAATGATAAATCTTTTTTTATTCTTTGTAGATGGCTGCAATGGATCGTGTAAACTTAATATTCTGGCATGAAGGGTTGTATATGAAGAAAAAGATAAATTGCTTTATTTAATTGAATGGTTAGTGTAACTCTTTTGACGTCGAACCTGATGAACTATGGATCCTGAAGAAAAAAAATAAATTACTTTCTGGCATGTAATGTATAAACTATATGGATTCTGAAGAAAAAAAATAAATTACTTTCTGGCATGTAATGTATAATTATACTCGATTTTGGTTGTGTATGAGTAATTTGTGTATCTTATATGTTATCATTGTCTTTTTCAGGCTCCAGGCCAATTACGAGGGCCAAAAAAATTGGCAGAAGGGTCAACTTCTGGATCCAACATTTATCAACTAAGTCAAACTTCCGTTTTAGGCAACAATTTGAGTTTGTGATATCACGTACTTATGATGTCTTGGGCGGCATTGCAGTTTGTTCTATGATGTTTAGGTAAATGATTTTGTGTTGTATGAGTTTGTAATTTTTTATATCATTCTGAGGATCTGGTACTACATACCACATGTATGTTGACTAATATTTATTATCTACTTAATATATACTTATTATCTACTTATACATCTCCATCTTTTTAATATTTACTTTGTTATCTATATTTATTGTTATTTACTTATATATATATTAAAGTATTATATATAAGTGTATAACTCATCTTATAGTATATACTTATATATTATATACTATAAACATTATATTATATATTAGTTATACAATTATATTAGTTACACTTGAATTCATAGTAATTAAATTCATCGTATTAGTTAATTTTTACATTTTTCATTAAAGTATAAAAGTAGTTAATTGTTACATTTTTCATTAAAGTATAAAACTAGTTAATTGTTACATTTTTCATTCAAGTATAAAACTAGTTAATAGTTACATTTTTCATTTCCCTATTATTTAATTTGTTAATTGTTGCATTCATAATAAAAGAAAAAAACTAGTTAATTATTAATTGTTGCATTAAAGTATAAACTAATAAAAGTAGTTAATTTTATTAGTCGCATTTTATTATTACTATTGTACTTATATTAAAACATTTGATATCATATAATATTTGTTACATTTTAAAGATGGATCGTGCCAGACATTCCGTAGATGTGGATAGTCTCCAACGCAACCGAAGGAAGGAGATTGCGACAAGTCATCCTAGTTTACGCAAAGGCAAAGGTAAAGGGCGGGCCGGATCTTCTTCTCAAAGTCGAGAAGATTTTGATGACGGATACCAAAGGCGAGATGGGGATGCGATGTCCGACGAGCAACTACTACAACTATTGGCGCAAAATGATGGTCACTTTTTCCAACAACAAAACATCCCAGAGTCCATTGATGAAGAGGAGCTCGAGGATGACGATGCGGAGGAGGACGAGGGGGGCGACGGGACTCACGGCACCCCGGATGATGAGCAAGAGTTGGAGGACGAGGACGGTCCATCCCAAGTTGGTAAGAAATCTAAATCTCCTATTATAGAAAATAATTTTACAAAGAGGAAAGACCCAAAAACCGATAAATGGTACGCAAGTTGCGATCATTGCAAGAAGGAGTATAGCTTGGGAACTTTCGACGGATACGGAAGACTCAAAAGGCATCTTAAGTCCGCGCACTCTGTGGAATATGCGAAAATAGACAAAGGGAAGGGGAAACAAACTCAAAAATCGAGGTTTGTAAATGACCAACCTTTTGGCAATTTCTCATACACTGATGCACAAAATTTGACTGGTACGGCTAACTTACTTGTTGAAGAAAATTTGCCTTATTTGTTTTCTGAAAGTCTTGCTTTTAAAGATTATGCACAAACTTGTTTAAATCCTCAATTTAGAAGTTATAGTCGCAAAACAGTTAAGAAAGAAATTATAATGCTTTATCGTGCGGAAAAGGATAGGTTACAAAAAAAATTGCAAACTTTGATGGCCGTGCTACTATTTGTTCTGACATTTGGGATGATACTTATCATAATTTACATTATTTGGGCCTGACTGCACATTTTATTGATAGTGATTGGAATTTGCGTAAACGTGTTCTTGCTTTTCGTGAATTTAATGATCGTCACACCGCTGAACATATTTATATTTTGATTGAACGTATTTTAACTGAGTATAATTTGATTGATAAGGTGTTTGCTATAGGTTTTGATAATGCTACTAATAATACTGCTGCTATACCTAGATTGCGTTAATTATGTGGTTCTAATACTTTGATGGGTAGATTTTTTCATCAACGATGTGCATGCCGTATTATAGATTTATGTGTGCAAGACGGTATAAAAGCGTTAGGAGATGCTATGGAGGTAGTCAAGGGGGGGATTAGACGTATTTGATTAGTATTTTACAGTTTCTTATAAAATGTATTTCATGTTTTAATTTTTTCTTCAATTCTCTGTTGTAATTTGTAAAGTTGTACGTAGTATTTTATATTTCAAATAAATATACATTCTTTTTTTATATGTAGCACTTCTCAAATTAATTAATTAATTAATTAATTGGTTACAAACTTACAACTTAGAATTTATTGTGTTAGTATTTTTTGAAAAATGTATTTCATATTTAAGTTATATTAAAAAGATAAATATATATATATATAGAAGAATGATCATGTACATATGGATGTATGGGGGGCTCCGTACGGACAAAGCCATTAGAGGCCCTTCCGGGTGGAATTTTTTGATGAAATTTTTTTGGGCATGTTCTGCATCAAGTCTAGTTTATTCATACCAAATTTCAGCTCAAAATTAGATCGGGAAGGCAGTCAAATAAATTCTTGAAATATATGGCGCATTCTGCGCACATATAATGTGCAGTATATTTCAAGAATTTATTTGACTGTCTTCCCGATTGAGTTTTGAGCTGAAATTTGGTATGGATAAACAAGACTTGATGAAGAATATGCTTAAAAAAATTCATTAAAAAATTCGACCGAAAAGGGCCTTAGATGGCTTTGTTCGTACGGAGCTTCCTGTACATTCATATGTACAGGAACGGCCCTCTATATATATATATATATAACCTAGGCCCGACCCGGCGGGTGGCCCGGCCCGGGACCCGGCAGGTGGCCTGGCCCGAACCGGCACCGGGCGAAGGACGGGTTGGTACCGGGCCCCCCTTTATAGGATCGGAGGCCCGACCGGACCCAGGCCCGGCCCAAACCGAGTCCAGCCCTAGTTTAGCACTTTAGCTGAATAAAAATGGATGGAAGGAATATAATATACTTCGTCCGTCCCATAAAATTTGACCAATGTTGACTTGCACGTAAATTAATAAAATAAAAACTGTGTGATTAATATTTGTGCAGGGGAAAGAAAAATAACTTTAGCTACATATTTGTTACTTTAAATGAAAATGGCAAAAGTTTTGTGGAACGGTCAAAAAAGGAAAGTTGACCATGTTTTATGGGATGGAGTATAACTATACTACTATAAAATGAGTAGTACAATTATATTTAATACTCTAAAATATATATACTTAATATTATATATTTAATAACAGTATACAAGTATATATAATATTATTTAAATATAAGTAAACAAGAATGTTCAGGTCCGAACGTTCGGACGGGAGTCTCCGTCCGAACATCCCCGTTTGGGGCCCTTCCCGGTGGAATTTTTTGATGAAATTTTTTGAGCATGTTCCTCATCAAGTCTAGTTTGTCCATACCAAATTTCAGCTCAAAATTCGATCGAAAAGACATTCAAATCATTTTTTTAAGTTGACTGCGTTTTTATATGCATATTTTGACGCAGTTAACTTCAAAAAATCATTTGAATATCTTCCCGATCGAATTTTGAGCTAAAATTTGGCATGGACAAACTAGACTTGATGAGGAACATGCTCAAAAAATTTCATCAAAAAATTCCACCAGAAAGGGCCCCAAATGGGGATGTTCGGACGGTGTTCGGACCAGGAATGTTCGGACCTGAACATTCCTCTATAAGTAAATATATATAATTATGATGTACAGTCATAAAGAGAATCAGAGAATAAGAGTAGAGTACTAGAGTAGGGAGAATTAGTGAACAGGTGTAATAGAGAATATGTGTGAAATTTTTTGAAATATGAGCTATTTAGAGGGATTTTTTAACCCCCACTCCCCCGCCCCACACCGCCAACCCTACTCCAACGGCATTATAGCCATTAATAGCCGTTGCAACAGCAATCACACCCCTCCCTCCTGAAAAGCAAAAAATTAAATAAATAAAAAATTAAATGATGACCATTGGGACCGAACCAGGAGTCGGGACCACACGGTCCCCAATTTTTACACCCGAAACCGAGCCCACCATATACCCGGTCATGTAGTCTATAACATAAATTGCGGGTATGCATGTCCCCGCTGCGGCGCTGCCACCACACATCATATGTCTACAGGCACGGTTCTCAAAAAGTACCATTTAGATTCCTTAAACCTAACTGATGGGTTACATGTTCTGAACACCACCACCACCTAAATAAAACCTATATTTACATGATACATTTGTACACCTCCGGGGGATGGTTATAATTAATCACTTTTTCTTATAATTCCAGTGGGAACACCATAGCAAACTGGGGATGCCCCATTCAAATATCGAAGGATGCATGCCTTTCGAGCTTCCCCCATGAACGACCCAATTCTTGGCCTATGCCTACAACATTTATTATGCATATCCCTCTTTCTATTTCCCCGACCTCCTTTTATATCCATGGACTTCAACTCCTTCGAAATTTCACTACATTGGTCACATTTTCCATAAAAGTTGGACCTTTCTCTTAACCACCCTTCCAGCAATGTCTTGCCGAACCTGTCAATGTCTTTGTCGGTCACTTCCCAAAGATTGGCAACTATGATTGGAGAGCCTGCTGAGAGGTAACATAAGGGGGCGCCCTGAGGAATGTAGGACTTGTTGCCTTTAAGTGACCCGCTGCTGCATCCCATTAGTAGGCAAGCCGAGCAAGTCTCTAGATCTTTTTTTTTGTCTGCAGGGATGTATTGCATACCTGAAATAATAACTTTTATATAATAAAACACAACACTAGCCAGTCCTAGGACTAAAATTATAAGGCAAAACAAAAGAAAGGTTCACTAGAGAAAAATGGATGGAAGGTTTTGGAGGGGTTTGACCCTTGATGAATAACGTTATATGATTAGCATTTATGTTATACTACTATTGAAACGGTGGGTCGATGAAATGTAATATGATTACCATTTATGTTACTCCATGTTTTACTTTTATAAAGTTGCCCCTTGGGATATTTTTCAGAGTGGTTTTGGAGGGGTGATTATTTTATCCAATAAAATAGTGCTTTAATGTGATCGCATTTTGCTCTTAGATATTAGGGTTCGCTCACTTTGAATCTACAGATGAAATCCTCCTTCCCAAAACAGCCAAAGTTTCGCAGAGCCTCATTTCTCACGAAGCTCACCGGATATGGTTTGGGTTTGGAAAAGCAGAATTCTGCTCTGGACTGCCAGATGTGAAACAGGGTTCTTCAATTTTTCAATCCCAAAAACCTTCATCCATATTTTCGTTGAATTTTAGGTTATGGTTGGATGGAGGATGTTGGAGGGTTTTAAAAAACTTAATTATAATTTGGAAGAATTTCAAATAAGCCTTTTTACTATTGTAAATACATAACCTAAACATAGATATACTTTAAAAAGTGTCAAATAAATGTGTGTACTTGCAAAAATAATCATTCAAACCTATGTTATGAGAACCAGGTCGGACCTGGTGATTAGACCTGGCAACCCGACCCTGGAACCGGTCCAGTTGAATGCACACCCGCTAATATGGTTAAAACCGGAATTAACAGGTGGACCGCCACAACTCGGGACGGACCCCGGACCGGCGAAAACCTGGAAAACCCAAAAGCCTGTTTATTTAAGAAATTTCTTCACTAAAAATTAGTCACCAACAGGTTTCGAACCCAAGCCTCTACTAAGCACCATTAACCAACTAGGCTACTTGTCTGTTGTGTAAATACTTTCTCATATTTTATAGTATACTCAAAGTTTTTAATTAATCATAATATTAACGAATTAATTTCACTTTTGGTCCTATGAATTTTATGTCAATTTCACAATTAGTCTATGTCGTTCATGTTGTCCACTATTGATGCTTGACTAATGTTTCTTGGCCATTTTCAGACTTTTTCCAAGGATTTTAACCAGCGGAAGCAATAACGGAATGACCATTTATGGGTCGAAACACAACTGTCATTGTCATTGCCATCATTATATTACCTTTGTTCTTAAATAAATGCAACATGTGAAATTTTACACAATTCACATGTTCTGCTTTGACTACGTTTTATTCATTAATACACTAATAATTTATTTTAAAAAATATATTGTTAAAACTGTTCTATCCTAAGTTTTCAAAATCTGATTTTTTCAAATTTTTTTACTAAAAAAATAAATATACTAATGGTCAAAGATTGTGCATTGACAAATTGACAAACGTGAAAAGTTGACCGTTGCATTTATTTAAGAACGGAGGTAGTACACAGTATTAATAACCTATACATACTTATGAAATATACATTAAATCTATCAGGAAGAGTAAAGTAATGAAAAAGTAGGAAAGAGAAAGTAGTATGTAAAAAGTAAAAAGGGGTAAGGGTAATAAAAGTGAGGGTATAAAGGTATTTTGATTGAAAAAACTTACTAAACAGAGAAAAATAGATAAATAATAAAAAAACATCCCGAAAAGGAATACAAGAAAGTTATTAGAGAACGAAGGGAGTACTTCTAATTTTCTATATAAATATTACATTCCAATATTTTCCATCTAATTTCAAACACATCTTTACTTTTATGAATTTTTTTATATATTGGTACATCAATTTTTAATTTAATCTGATAATCATTATTAAATTTTGAATGATGGAAAATTTTAACCATACATTTTTTATAGTTTTACCATACCTCCATCCCAAAAAACTGTCATTTTCAAAACTTTGAGCAACTATATCTTTGTATTAGAAACTATTTATAATATAAAAATTGTATGAAAATGTTCTTTGTTAAAAGTACTTTCATAAAAGTATAAAACTTACTTCCTATGTCCCTTAAAACTTGGCCAAGTTTGACCAACACATGGATTTCTACAGAGGAGAGAGAATTAATTGGAACCATAAATTCTTTACTTAAATGGGAAAGTGACAAAGTTAATGGCACCACCAAAAAAGGAAAGTTCAAAAAGTTTCAAAAGACTAGGAGGGAGTATCACTTTCATAATATTATACTAATCAAAATCATGGTTCAAATTTTATAAAATGGCAATTTTTGGGGGACGGAGTTCATATTATAGGAAAAAGTAGCAAATCAGCCCTCGAACTAACTTAAAAAGTGCAAATCACCCCTTATATAGGAGGCTCGGTCCGACCGTCGCCATTTGGGGCGATTCCCTATGAAATTTTTTGATGAAATGTTTAGAGCATCTTCTTCATTAAGTCTAGTTTACTCATACCAAATTTCAGCCAATACCCTTGGGTGAATCTCGAAAAAACAAAGAAATTAATTGATTAAAATTAATTAAAATAGCCAAAAAAACAAACAGAAACAAGGACAGAAAAGCCAAAGCTTGTGCACAATTTCATTAAAACGTATTCATTGTCTTCCACGGTCCTAGGAGCGTTGCAACGATCGTTTCTCAGGATATGGTGACTTACAAACAACCGTATGAACACTAGAGGAAATTTCAGAAAGCTGGAGGTGTTTTTAGCTCAAAACTACGTGAAGACTGTGTACAATTCGTGTGTTGTTGCAAATCACCTGCCAACTATAAATAGGGATGGATTTGTTGCGCGTTAGGTGACCTTTAATGGACCTGAACGTTGGACATAAATGACCTAAACATTGGGCATTAATATGTCGAAAAACTATCCATTTAAAGATGCATTAAAAGATAAGAACGTTAGGCATTAAAGGTTGTAACGGCTCAAAACCGTTCTTGTGCGCGACCAGAACCGGTCTTCTGGCGTTGCAGAACAGAAACGCTCTTCTGGTGCAGCAAAACCAGAAGTGCTCTTCTGGTGCGATCAGAACAGAAACGGTCCGCTTCTGATGCGAACAGAAGCCTCCTCTGTCAGCCCACTGATTTTGGAAAAACATAAGAGCGTTATGGAAGAAACAAAAATTAAATCGTATCTTTGAAAGATGGATTTTCGAACAACATTCGTGTCTGCGGGTCATGGTATAAGTCAGATTTCTGGATACAGGCTTATGGAATTACGGTAGGCTATTTTTCTCTAAAAAATGATGCAAGAACAGGTAATTTTATTGGAAAATTTGTGAGGATGGACGAGCACAATTTTAATGAAAAGTGGAATCCTTTTATGCGCATTCGGGTCACTGTTGATATAGACAAACCGCTTAAAAGAAAACTTTTTTGCAAACGGAAGAAGGTAATAGTTATTGTGTTTCTTTCAGATATGAGAAATTGCCTAGCTTTTGTTTCCTATGCGGAATAATCGGGCACGCGGAGAAGTTTTGTACCCGTAAGACGCGGAGCAGCTTGGAGGGGAGTGCTAGACTGTTTGAAGGCAACAAATGGTTAGTTCCAGCTGGGGGCAGCCAGGAAAAGGAACAAGAAGCAGGGGCGGTTGATACTAACTATGTTGCAGAGATGGGGGTTAGGCCCACGAGTGAAAAAACAGACCAGAAACGTCGACGTATTGCAGGTGAAAGGGAGGAGGGAAGGTTTCAAGAGATGGATATGGAGCGTGGACAAGCAAAAAACGGGGTGGAGGCAGGCTACAAGCTGATCAGGGAGAGGATGACTCAAAGACTCCCTGTTATCACTTAATTTTCAGTTTTATCAGTAGTTCCACTTCACAATGTGTTGTTATTTGTTTTGCTTTTTTGTCTGGTGACAAGGATAATTTTGTTTTGTTAGGGTTAGCTGTTAAGAGGGTAGAAAGTATACAGGCTTTGGTAGCCGAATTTAGCTTTGAATCACTCCCATGTTCAGCGAGTAGAATTGCTCATCAACGGGCAGGTTACTCTATGTATGATCACGGAGTGAGGGGGGCTTTTAGGTATAGATGGGCTGAGGAGAACACTGGGGTTGTGGGAGGTTTGGATGTTGGGCTGTTGGCCTTTATTATTTATATATAAATAGTTTCCAGTCAAAAAAAATTACTAGTACTATTACTACTACAACAATCCTCACCATCAGGGTTGTTCACTTTGTTTGGTGCCAAGGCGAGTTCAAATCCCGCCAAAAGCGGCCGACCACTTGGAGCTAATTTGCAGATAGGATTGGATCCTCTCATTATTTGAGCATCTTCTGACCAAATTAGAGATTATACGGATCATTGAAAAGGCTAACTCCTTAATTAATGCATTCATCAGCTAATCAAGGGCTTAGTCCATTAATGGCCCAAACCGTCCCTGGTTTGCTCAGATCATTCGAGGATTTAACACCATACAGGCAATCCCATCATATATAGGCATCATGAGCTACAAATCCCACAATTTGTATACTCATCCAAGCCCCCAAGGCACAGAGGAGTGCATAGGGCAACATTTTAAAGAGTAAGGGGAGATTAAAAAATGATATATTTAGTTATCTACTTATCTTACCGCTTCCATGCCCAAAATAAAGAAATAGGTCATGTCTCTTCAAGGCTTCAGTCAGTTCGTCAACGGTGGGTGCAACTCCGCTCGTACCCTATGAAACCAAAAATGACATTAGCAATTGACTTGAAATCAATTTTCTAGAGCACATGAACTTCAGCTAAAACTGTCAAATGCCATCAGTATAAATCAGTTGCAACTTTAGATGTTTTTATTGAGTCTTGATATTCTACCTCCGTCCCTAACTTTTCTTCCTGCTTTAAGTTGGCACGCTTATTAATAAGGCTTTTGGGAATAAGGTTTGGATGTTGTTGTTGTTTATTAATAAAATGGAAATGTGTCATTGCAGTTCATGTAGAAAATGAAAAAGTGTTGGTCACACAATGCATTCCTTAAAGGGAAATGGGAAAAAATTGGGACATCCCAAAAAGAAAAGGGGAAAACTGTCAATTTGGTCTTCGTACTTTCATGAAAAAGTCAATTAAGTCCTCGTACTTTTAAAAAGATCAATCAAATCCCTGAACTTTGTAAAAATGTTCAATTGAGTCCATTTGCAGGTTATTTGTCATGTCAGCCGGCCACCCGCTGACGTGGCGCACACATGGCGGTTCACGTGTGTGCCACAATATCAGCAAATGGCTGACTGGACTTCCACTTGTATGTCATGTCAGCAAAGTTATTGCTGATTGGGCTGTCACATGTGCGCCACGTCAGCGAGTGACCTACTGACATGGCAAATAACCTGCAAATGGATTCAATTGAACGTTTTTACAAAATTCGGGGATTTGATTGATCTTTTTAAAAGTATGAGAACTAATTGACTTTTTCATGAAAGTACGAGAACCAAATTGACAGTTTTCCCAAAAGAAGAGTGAAAAGAAAATTATGGGGAGTATTTGTTTTTTCTCAAATTCACAGAACCGGTATTCCCCCCATGCCAAAAACAGCCATTTTAAACCTTACTTTAAGTAATTTGCTTATGTACCAAAAACGAGTCCTGCTTGAGTAAAAGAAGCTAAATTAAGGATGTTATGTTTTGGCAAAGCAGCAAATTTTTTTAAACATAGCTAAAATTGTGGTTTCAAATAAGTGTACCTTAGAAAACTAAAAATTTATACCTTGAAGAAACAAGATTTCTTTGTTCACATATTAGTCTTTAAGTGCAACAAAAAAAGGATTACCTCAAAGTTCTTATCATTAAACCAACCCTCAAATGTAGCCTGGGTGAAGCTAAGATCACCATCAGGGTTCAAGACATAATACGCATCTAGGGGATCGACTAATGGGATGGAGTTCAACAGATTCCCCTTTTCGATAGCTTCTTGCTGGAGGCAGCGTTTGACTAGTGTTGCATTGATGGCACCAACAGAGGGCATCCGGTAAACCTCTTGATCTCTTAATATTGGCAGGTTCTCCCATGGAAGCATCTGCAAGTAGACATGAGTACTGAAATGTCTAAAGAAGAGATAAACATAAACTCTGCAAATAAAAAAGATGACAATCGGCCTCAATATGATTACCAAGAAACAAGTGCAAATCATTTGAAACAAGTGCAATTTTGTTACCTAAAGTGTTGGGACCCTTCTTAATTGGAAAATTTCTAAAAAAAAATCTAGAGAAGAGTAGAGTTTTTTTAGGATGTTCATAAAACAACATAAAAAAACAGACCGGGAAGCGACCTGATCGAATGATCGAGTCACGGGTCAACCCAGACCCGGCAGGTCAACCCGGTCAACGCCGGAAAAACAGGTCAACTTTTATATACAACTTAATGGTAAAAACATACTCCCTCCGTCCCTGAATGTTCTTCCGATTGCGGATTACGAAGGTTGACCGACGATAAAGTTAAATGATCCCTGTGAAAACTCGGATTATTTTTAGTAAATAAAATTTACATATTCAGAAACTACATTAAACCCGCTACAAAGCCTGCACAAAAAAAATCAATTTTCATAAAGTTTTGATACAAAAAGTAAGAGTTTAAGAGTGATTTAAGTTGACTCTCGAAAAGCGAAATGGAAGTAAATTTAGGGACAGAGGGAGTATAACAATATACTCCATATAAAATATGAAAAAATAACTACTATTCACATGAATAAATTAAAATTACTTTTAGAACTTAGTAAGCAATTTTGTTATATATTCAAAAATGTTATTTGTTTTAGTTTTAAAATATATGAATATTTAAATAGTCTGGAGTAAGTAAAGTATTCATAATTGAATACTTCATAACTATTTTTTAATATTTATTATTCAAATATATTCACACATCCATCATATTCTAAAAATATTTTTAGGATTTGAATCAATATATAATGTTATTAGATATTTATTTTTACATCCATAAAATATTTAGATATAATTTTGTCTCAGGAGTAAATATTTAAATATATCAAACACTTTTTTCAAAAATTAATAGTACCTCCTCCCACTAACATTGGGACATGGGGAGGTAGTATGGTTATTAAGAAAAGTAAGTTTGTGTGGTTGATATTGAATTGATAAAGTATGAATAAAGTAAGAATAATTTAGAATCACACACATTGTACTAAATTTGGTATGAGACAATCTTAGTAGGACGGACCGAAAATGAAAGATGGGACAATCTTAGCAGGACGGAGAAGAGTATGAACTATGTACACATTATAAATCTTAAAAGTATTGCACAGAGTATAAGCATTTTTAACTTATAGTTCAATGTTATATTCATCATATGATAGTACAATAGTACAAATAATACGTATTATAATACTTATAATTTAATAATTATTACTTTTTAAGTTATAAAAATATACTACCTCCGTTCTTAAATAAATGCAATAGTCAACTTTTCACGTTTGCCAATGCACAACTTTGACGATTAATATATTTAATTCTCTATTATTAAAAAAATTCAAAAAATAGATTTTGAAAATTTACAATGTGACAAATTTAACAATATTTTTATAAAAATATTTTATCAATACACTAATAAATAAAACGTAGTCAAAGTAGGACATGTGAATAGTGTAAAATTCAATATGTTGCATTTATTTAAGAATAGAGAAAGTATTAAATTCTTGTCAAAAAAATATATTAAACTATATCAAATATATTTAAGGAGCTTGATATACCAACAAATTGCAATGGCAACATGGATGGCCGCACAACAAATTCAAACGTACACGAGGGATCGAAGCGACAAAGCCCAAGAAGAATATTTTTAAAACTGTGATTTGTCCCGGGCCCAAACAGGTTTTTGAGTTCTTCCGGTTTATGGCGTATTTACGGTTCATATGGTAACTGGACCGGGTAATGTGATGGTTCACCTGTTTCCGGTCCGACCCGGCTGGTCCGGTCCGGTTTATCAAACATGGCTAAAGTGTGAGACGGTTTTATAAAATATCAATTCATGTAGTCGTAATATTTATTTGAATGGTGGAAGAACCTCCAACACATTGGAGGGCTATAAACTCTTGAAATCTCAATATTATGTTATTTTTTTAACAGGGAATTAGTATAGGAAAAATCTTACCTTCACAACTTGAAATAGGAATTTACACTTTTAAATTTTTAAAACGTCTTTGTACCACATTACATCATTTAACTCTGCCATGAGATGATTTTGGGTACTATGCATGTCCCAAGCCAGGATAAAAGAGGAGGGTGTTCTGATAGGCGCGTGACGGCCAACCGTACCACTTAATCACATCACATGATATGAATCGAAATACGAATATTGCTAAAGCTAGGTCGTCGCCCGTAAGCGATGCGTCATCCCTCCATCTGGTGTCAAATATGCAAGGGCACGCTACACTTCATAGGTCAGGGTGGTGATAAGAATGCTAAGGTTGCTAGGTCATTGCCCTAAAGCGACGCACCACTCCAATGCCCGGGGATGGTGTTAAATATGCAAGGGCATGGTGGGGGTCGATGTGATGTAAAGAAGAGAAGGCATGGTGCTAGATTACGTTTTGGGACGTGGATGTTGGCTCTCTTACTGGAAGATCATCTGAGGTAGCCAAGGTTATGAGGAGGAATATCACCATAATGGCATAATGTGCGTGCAAGAAACTCAGTGGGTTAGAGAAAAGGCACATGAGAGTAATGTCGGAGGTTTGGTATTTGAGAGAGGGAGGAACAGAAGTGAATAGGCATTAGTGAGGCGCGTGATTATGTTGAGGGTGTGGTGGAACTCTTTAGGAAGAACGACCGCATCATGAGCATTAAGTTGGTAATACGAGATGACATCATGTCCTTCACCAGAAATTGGATTAGATGCATCATCACTCAACAATTTTGAGAAGATCTTGAGGAAGTGGTGCGATGAGTGACAAGGGGAGAGAAACCAGTCATAGGAAGCGACCTCAACAGGCATGTGAGCCCAAGGGCGTGATGATTTTGAGAGTACCCATGACTAGGGGTGGGATCGGGATGATCCCGATCCCGATTGCCAAAATCCCGGTCCCGATCCCGATTCAAAATACAAGAGATTCATGTATGCTGTCTTGATTAAGTCGGGATCCCGACATTAAAATCCTGATTAAGTCGGATTCCCGATCGGGAATCCCGCTTAATCCCGACAATGAAGTATCAAACATAAAATTATCTAATTTCTTTTGTTAATACTAACTTTGATATTTAGTTATTTCAACACTATTCTTTGGTCATTAATATAACATATTTATCATCATCTATTTATAAAATTTATAGTAATAATTATCATCTCAAATTTAGTGGTACGTACTTTTAGAATAATTTTTATTTATAACTTCAATTAATTATAACAATTTTTGAGTAATCTATCAAGGTTTAGTGAAACTTACTTAAAAAATTATAGGGAAAAGGTACATATATACCCCTGTAGTATAAGTGGAGGAACAAATATACCCCTGTTCTATTTTTCGGAACAAATATATCTCTGAACTTTTAAAAAGATGCAAAAATATCCCTCATATTTTTATAAAGGAGCAATTTAATCCTTATTGACTTTAAATTAATCAAATCAAATAAATTTCAAAAAAAGACCAAAAATAAATTAATAAATCGAAATTAAAAAATAAAAATTTTAAATTTCTCCCTTTATTGTTTTTATATCACAATTAAATACTTTAAGTATAAGGTATTATTTCAAAATATGTAATTTTATTGTGCACAGAATGCAAAAAATTAATTTTTCTCTACATTGCAAAACATATGTTGCACCTTTTCGAAAGAATCTTAAAATAAAATTTTGAAATAATATTTCATGCTTAAACAATATTATATTGTGATATAAAAACTATAAAAGGGAGAATTAGACACTATTAAATTTTTCATTTTTTTTAAAATTTCGAATTTATAATTTATTTTGGTGTTTGTTGAAATTTATTTTATTAATTTAAAGTTAATAAGGATTAATTTGCCCCTTTATAAGAACATGAGGGATATTCTTGCACCTTTTTAAAAGTTCAGGGGTATATTTGTTCCGAAATATAGAACAGGGGTATATCTGTTCCCACACCCATACTACAGGGTTATATTTGTACCTTTTCTCAAAATTATATAAAAATTCACTAAAAGAAGGATGTGTGACGTATACTCCCTCCATCCCAAAACGATAGCCTTGTTTCCCTTTTTGGTAAGGAAATTAAAGTAGGTTACCAATCACGCCCCTCCTTTTTATGAATAATAAAAGTAAAGGAATGAACCGTGCAATAAAGTAAGGTTAAATGAGTCATTCTACCCCACTTTTTTAATATTCGAACCCAAAAAGTATAGGACCATCAATTTGGGACGGAGGGAGTATTATTTAATATTCAAAACTAAGTAGACTAATTGAGAAACTTTGTGACCAATGAATATAAAGTATAAATACATATTATGATTATTTACTAAAGAAAGAAATCTTAGTCACGATCATGATTTTTGAAAGAGTTCAAAACCGCAAAAGTTGTAATATTGTTGGGATTTGGATTGTCGGAATCAAGAATAATCTCTAGTTAGGATCCAGAATATTCAATTTGGGACAAATGCCGAATAGTTTTTGAAGTTTTATATTGGGACAAATGCATATATTTAAATCCATATTCATTTTTCATAAATGTATATTCATTTTTTTTATATTCATATATAATTAAATATATGTATATATATATATATTTCTATTTTTATACGTGTATATATATAGTGTCGGGATTCCGGAATTTTCCCGATCCTAACTTTTTTCAAAAAAAATCTCGGTCTCGTCCGGACTTAGTCGGGATTGGGAAAAATTCCTGACTAGTTGGGATCGAGATTGTCGGGATCGGGAGTCGGGATTCGGAAAAAAATCCCCACCCCTACTCATGACAGACATGGTTTTGACACTAGATGAAGCGGGGAAGAACATTCTAGATTTTGTCTCACCATATGAGTTGGCTATAATGAACCATTGGTTCAAGAAAAGAGACTCACCTTGTGACCTATAGAAGTGGAGCTAATAGTACCCAAATTAACTATTTTTTAGTACGGACAACTTAGAGAATAGCTACATTGATTATATGGTTATCCCAAGTGAGAATGTTGTCACTCAATATAGCATGCTTGTGCTTGATTTTCATGGTAAGAAGAGAAGGCATGTTAAGGTACAAGTGGAGCCAAAGGTAAAGTGTTGGAGGATCGAGGGAGAACTCCAACAAAGTTTTGTACACAAAATGTTGAAGGAAGATGTATGGCGTATTGATAATGATGCACATGTAGATGATGTGTGGTTATCGATAGAGCCGACCAATAACAAAGTGGCGAAGGAAATACTCAAAGAATCTAAAGGATGTATGCCACCAAAAAAGACACATCTTGGTGGAATGATGAGGTGAAACAAACAATAAGAACCAAAAGGGGATGCTATAAAAAGTTGGGCAAAAGTTGGAGCGATAAGAACATAGAGGAGTACAAGCAGGTTATAAAAAAAGAAAAGAAAACTGTAAAGGAAGCAAGAGGGAAAGTGAACAAGGAATTGTATGTAAAATAAAACTCTAAGGAAGGAGAAAAAGATATTTACAGACTTTCTCGCCTTCGTGATCGTATAACTCAAGATATTGGAAAAGTTAAGAGTGTGAAGGATGTCGATCAAAGGGTACTAATGGAGGACGAGGAAATAGAAGAGAGGTGTAGGTCATACTTTGATGCCTTGTTCAACGCGAATAAAGTGCAATGTATTGACGATTTTACTATACAAGAGTGTATAGTAAATTGGGACTTTTTGAGAAGGATCCTAACGACAGAAATTAAAGAGGCTCTGAGAAAGATGGGACGGGAAAAGCAGTGGGTCCAGTTGGCATAGTGATCGAGGCTTGGATAAGTTTGGGAGAGGAAGGCATTGAGTGGTTAACACGTTTATTCAACATGATTTTGAGAAACAACAAAATGTCAATGAGTTGGCGAAAGAGTACTCTCATTCTCCTATTTAAACATAAGATTAATGTACAAAAATGTGCTAACTATCGAGGGATTAAGCGTAAGAGTCACACCATGAAACTTTGGGAACGAATGGTTGAGCAAAGACTTCGAAAAAGTGTGAAAATTTCGGAGAATCAATTTGGGTTTCTAAATGGATGCTCAACAATTGAAGTCATTCACCTTATTAGACAAGTTGTGGAGAAGTATAGAGACACTAAAAAGGATTTGCACTTGGTGTTAATTGACTTAGAAAAGGCATGTGATAGGGACATAGGGTACTTCAAGAAATCCTTTGGTGGGCCTTAATTATAAAAGGCATATCACGTAAGTATATCAGTATCATCATGAATATGTTTGAGGCTTATACTACAGGTGTTTGTACTAGTGTTGGGAGGTCCGCAAAATTCTCTATTACTATCAGAGTGCACCAAGGATCGGCTCTAGGTTCTTTCTTATTTGCTATAGTCATGGATGAACTTACGAAGTCAATTGACTCAATTCAAAAAGATATATTGTGGTGCATGATGTTCGTTGATGATATTGTATTGATTGATGAGACACAATCGGGTGTTAAAGCAAAGTTGGAAGTATGACAACAGACAATGGAGATTGAGGGGTTTCAGATTGAACTGAAGCAAGACTGAGTATATGGAGTGCAAGTTTGGTGGAGGTAGAAATAATAGTAACAGTGTGGATGAAATGGAAGAGTGCAATATGTTTCGTTACTTAGATGGAGATGTATCCCATAGAATCAGAGCAGGGTGGATGAAATGGAAGAGTGCATCAGGATTTCTATGCGATTGAGGTATGCCGACTAGACTGAAGGGTAAAATTTATCGAACAACAATCAAGTCTGCATTAATGTATGGGGTATAGTGTTGGACGGTGAAACAATGTCATAATCAAAAGATGAGTGTAGCAAAGATGCTTATGTTCTGTTAGATGTGTGGACATACTAGAAAAGACTGCTTGAGAAATGAGATAATCAGATAAAAAGTTGGAGTAGCACTTACAGAAGATAACATGAAGGAGTCTCGATTGCGGTGGTTTGATCATGTGTGCACAAGATTGAGGGATGCACCTTTAGACGACTTGAGAGGTGGGGAGAAGAGGCGGGTAGGAGAGGGAGAGGAAGACCGAAACAGACTTGGATTAAAGGATTCAGAACTGATATGCGTAATCTTGGGTTGGATGAAAGTATGGCTTTGGAGAGAGCAAAGTGGAGGGCACACATTCGTGTGTACAATTGATCTCTTTACTCTCTTTTCTCTCTCTCTCTCTTTCATTTATTGTTTACTTCCTTTATCTTTCTATGTTCTTATGTTACTATATATTCTATCTTTTTGATGCTCTTTTATCTTTTTATCTTTTATCTTTTTATGTTCTTATGTTATTGTTATTTGATATTTATCATTATCTTATCTATTTTATCATACTTTATTTTTTATTCTTCTCATCTTTCTTCGCTTTTTAGCTGTGATATCTTGGTTCAATTCATGTTAGCCGACCCCAAAATCGTTCTGGATTAAGGCTGGGGTGTTATTGTTGTAGTTGGTGTACCACATTACACCATTTGCATGTTGTTGGTGTGCCACATTACACCATTTGCTCACAGGTAAAATATGAGTATATTCTCGATATGTTTTTTTTACTTTCAAACAATAATTTTACAGTTTTACATAGCACAGGTGAGCAGTTCTATACTTCAACAGATATTTTTCAAAAAAAAAACAATCACATAGAAGGCTAATAGAGTTGCACACTTTGAAACATACCTGCAAATCAAAGTCTAAAATGAGAATGCTTGGTTTCCGGTTGATGCATCCAGAGCCTTCCAGCTTGTCAGCCGCATCAAATATTGTTTTATATACTGCTTCTGAATATGTGCAACTTTTGGATAATGTACCATCACCATGTCCGCCTATGTGGCATCCATTAGTTAAAAGCAGCTGAAAAATGCAACCATCTTCCTCAACTGCATGATTAGCGCCTCCAAGAACTATTTTGAGAAGAGCCATGTCAACATCCGATTTGTTTTCGAGTTTTAAATGTTCAACTACTTCCATCAGAGATGAATCCAGGAGCTCACATCCGGACAACTCACCCAAAAGTAAGTATTTCCAAGGACCCAGCCATAGTTCCTCTAAATCCCTGATGAATGAACCAGATGAATAGTTTGGTTAGCATTTAAAGAAAGTACTTTTACATATGGGTTGAAGTCAAATTCTCACCAGTAATCTATCTGTCCCACTTCAATAGGCCCACTTTGATATTTTTTGTTTTAACCAAAAAAAATTATCTATAATGTTGTGAACGCGATATAAAACTGTTATTTTTAAGAGTGCTGTCATAAAATAACGTGTTTTATAATTATTATAACATCTTTGACCATAAAAGGTCAATTATTACCTATTAAAGTGGGACAGAGATTAAGATTTTAAGTAACTCAGATCAATCATTGCGCCAAATTTTTAATCTTCAACCATCCAAACCAGATAAAGAAGTACTATGTTACTTACTGCAAAAACCTGGCAAGGGACTCATCAAGTTGCCTCCTAGACTTCCACCATAAATCTGTACTTTCTGATGTATCAGGACCAACCTCTGAGCACAAGTAACTCTTTTCCAATATGTCCCTAAATAATGGGGCCACATTATTAATTACACAAGATGATGCCCAATTGCAATGCCACTGCTTAGTAAAATCACTGGCTTGAACGGAAACGCTGGAGCATAGTTCCTCGGTGTCTGATGATAATTAATATAGGAGAAAGAAGAACAAGAATAAGCTCATGAATTTGCTCAAATGTGTTGGCATTGGTAATGCTGGCTTAAAACCATGTTTACCTTTTAAAACTGAATTTATAGGAAGAACTACTAAAACAGGATTATTTGTGGAACTCATCCGTGACAAAAGTATCCATGCTTGAATAGGAGAAGGGCGGCACAACAGCTGACCCAGCAAAGTGGCAAGAGTACCAGCAATGAAGCTAATACAAACCACTGTAGCAGAAGGTAAGCTTTCAAAATATTTTAGAACAAAATCTTCAAGATTGTCAACTGATCCAGGTGCATTCCTATAGGATAAAGAAAGAGTAAAGAAAAACACATCGATGTGAATTCTAATAAATGAGAAACTTTATGGCAAAAAATACCAGAGTGTGCTGGGTTTTCTCTGATCATCATTTGAGCTACAACAACCCTGAAAATTTTGCATGTCGAAATATTCAATAATAATAATATGAAAAGGCATGTAATATCATAATTTCAGAGAACTATTTCGCATCTTTAGTAAGGTCGGGCTTAAACTTCACCTACTTGAACTGGCTATTTATATTCTTTGGGGTTTAGGGTGTGGAGTGCACATATTACTCACCTCCATAAAGAGTTAAATTATTTTTTTAAATGAAAAAGATGTATTAGAAAATCTTTGGGTACATAATGTGAGTTCTACCATTGCATGAAATAATAATAATGATGATGATGATGTAGTAATAGCAATCAATATTCAAGAGTGTTGATAGAGATCGCTCCAATTTACCGAGTTTTTGAGAGCTAGAGATGAAGGAGACGGATTTACGTAACAATGGAAAGCTTCGTATAACAAAATAGAGAGACAAAATACATAGGCAGTTAAAGATTGCCAACTCTCCAAGTCCCAAGCTGATTAGGCGGAGAGCTAAATACATTGCAAAATACATAGGCCGTTAAATACATGCGTAGAGAGCTATTGCGTGAAGAGGCTTTATGCTGATAGGTATAGAAGTAGAGCTTCTCAACCAAGAAATAAAACCAGGATCTCAAGGCAAAAAATAAAGCATTTGGGTCAGCCTCAAGTCAACTGTTGACTTGAGGATGATAACAATGAATCAAATTGCGCAATGCAATACGCTATAAAGGTGCCCCTCACGTATTTTCTAGTGAAAGGCGGATTATTGCATGGCTAAAGGCGGTCGACTAAGAATTTACGCATTGTTGCGCAGAGACGTACGATGTTGCCATAAGCCTCAAGGCGAGGTGAAGCGGACGCTTTTAATGGCTCGTTAGTTTACACGTTAAATCTTTGCACGCTAAGTGATTGCATGCAAAGTATGCAAAGTATAGGGAAGAAATCATTTTGCATGTAAAATAGATTACATTGTTTGACTAGATGTGTAATTATTTTTAAATTGCATACAAAAAGGCATGCAAAGTATTTTATCACCCTCCCAAGTAAAATACTTTACATGATACAGTGCGAAATGTTTAAGAAAATGTCATACAGTTTACATTAAATAATCAAACCAAACAGTGTAAACATTACACGTCCTTAAACTTCACATGCAAAGTAATCAAACCAAAGAGTGTAAGACTTTTAGGAAATATATGTGGGCCGATAGGGCCCAGTTTCTATTTTTATGTTTTGAAATAAACCTGCACAGCAACAATCGTGAATCCTCATACGCTATTCCCATCGTTGCTTGCTTAACGCCTTAGCCCTGAGTCATATGGTATTCCCTGGTTGCTGACCTGCGTGATATATGACTAAGTATATTCTTCCCTGGTTGCCGACCTGCGTGTTTCCTATCTTAAAGTTATACGTAGTATACTACCTCCTATCCTATGTGTCTCCTCTCATTTTGGCACAATTTTAATTAAAGTAATTGAAAAGGCAAAGGTTGTGGTTGAGATTTGAGTATAGTAAAGTGAAATGTTGTGAACCAAATATTTCTTTCCAAAAAGAGAAAAGTGCACTTATTTTGGACAACCCAAGAAGGAAAGTAAGACAGGTAAAATGGGACGGGGTATATATGTCATATGGCTTAGGTGGGCATCACCATTCCCACACATTTTTTAGTGGGGTTCTTCACCTGCCTTTAACTTTATCTACTTCTTATTAAAGTATTTAACTTTAATGTTTTTGTTATACATATATATATATATAATATGATTGTCATACTAGACTACTAGTATACTACGTATGTCATGGTTTTGACAATTAATACTTGAAGTTAATTCTACATATTATCTTAATTTTAATACGAAGTATTAATATTAATGTTAATATTATCTTATCTTTCTATTAATATTAAATTCAGTTAATAAATTATTTTCCATCGTTTTGATAATTGATATAGAAATTTAATTCTTCTTCCAAAAAAAGAAAGTTAATTTTAATATTTTCTTATTTTTCTGTTAATATTAATTTCAGTTACTAAATTATTTTCCATCGTTTTGATAATTGATATACAAAGTTAATTCTACATATTATCCTAATTTTAATATTAATGTTAATATTATCTTATTTTTCTGTTCATATTAGTTTCAGTTAATAAATAATTTTACATTGTTATGATAATTGATATAGAAAGTTAATTCTACATATTATCCTAATTTTAATATTAATATTAATGTTAATATTATCTTATTTTTCTGTTCATATTAATTTTTGTTAATAAATTATATTCCATCGTTTTGATAATTGATATAGAAAGTCAATTCAACATATTATCTTGATTTTAATATTAATATTAATATTAATGTTAATATTATCTTATTTTTCTGTTCATATTAATTTCAGTTAATAAATTATTTTCCATCATTTTGATAATTGATATAGAAAGCTAATTCCACATATTATCTTAATTTTAATATTATATTAATTTTCTGTTAATATGAATTTTTTATATTATCTTAGTTGTCTGTTAATATGAAATTATCTTAATATTCTCTAATGTTAATATTCTGGAAAATTAATAGTATATGTATTAGCTATGAGGTTAACATTATTATTTTGTATATATATAATTCGCTTTTTGTTTTTCCACTGATGGAGTATATGATCCAGGACCCCCTGGCCCACATACTCATGCAATCCAGACGTCCAGTGGAAGCCCTCGGCAGCACCTCGGCTATGATGTCCTCGGTACCCCTCGGCTATGATGCCCTCGGCACCCCTCGGCTATGATGTCCTCGGCAGCACCCCTCAGCACCCCTCAGTTATGACGTCCTCGGTACCCTTCGGTTATGATGCCCTCGGCACCCCTTGGCTATGATGTCCTCGGTACCCCTCGACTATGATGCCCTCGGCACCCCTCGGCTATGATGTCCTCGGCAGTACCCCTCGGCACCCCTCGGCTATGATGTCCTCGGTACCCTTCGGTTATGATGCCATCGGCACCTCTCGGTTATGATGTCCTCGGTACCCTTCAATGATGCCCTCGGCACCCCTTAGCTATGATGTCCTCGGTACCCCTCGGCTATGATGCCCTCGGCAGTACCCTTCGGCCATACATGAAGCCTTCGGCCATACATGAAGCATTCGGTCATACATGAAGCCTTCGGTCATACATGAAGCCTTCGGTCATACATGAAGCTTTCGGCCATACATGAAGCCTTCGGCCATACAAGAAGCCTTCGGCCATATGATCCAGGCCGAAGGGTCTACGCTCTATGAAGCTTCCTCTGGAGACAAGCAACTACCGCACTCAATGCAGCGTCACATCCACCCACCGCATTTAATGCGGTGCACATGCGAGTGTCGGTGGCACCCCGATTGAGGTGACCCCTCGGCCGTCAGATTGTTGACACATGTACTCTCATCGCATTTATGGCTGCTATAAATAGCAGCCCTTATTCCTCTTGTAAAGGATCCCGGAATAAGTTCATTTAATATACTTGGCTCTCTCTCTCTTACTTACTTGCTCTGATTTCTCTCTAGGTTATTCCCCGCAATAACCCCTCGGATAAGCTACCCCCGGGTACACTGTCCATCATCCACCATATGTAGTTTTTTTAGTCTGGTAGAATGTCGAGTAGAGACCCAGCGTGGAAACATGGAGATGACATAAAACAAGCAGGGTTAAAAGGGAAGTCTTACAAATAACTACTCCCTCCGTAACTTTAGAATTTTCCCATTTCAAAAGTAGGTAGATTAAGAATAGTGAAAGATGATATGAATTATTAAGGGTATGATGGGAAAATAGTGGAATAATGTGGTGGAATGTAGGATAAATCCAAAAAAAGTAGTTGTAATAGTGTATTATTTTATAAATTATTGAGGGTATGATGGGAAGATTTAGAAATGAGAAGATTTTTTTGTTACGGACGAAAAAGGAAAGTGAGAAGATTTTTAAGTTACGGAGGGAGTAAAATGTAAGAATCATCTTGCCTGCACCAGGAAAAATGTAAGACCGTGCCTGTCTGTTCCGGATAATGTAAAACAGGAGATGTTAGACCTTCTGAAGTTGAACGAGAAAACACAAGCAGTCCGAGACAGAGATCATGAGGAGGTTATTAATAGGGGTTATTATCAAAGTGTGAACCCAACGAGGCATCCGGGGCCCTCTTAATACATTTGTCACTTACGTCGAAGGTGACAATCAGAAGGAAACTCCTGCGAGTGAAAAAGAAGCAAGCTGGCAATGTTGTTTAGATGTTAGTAGATTTTTTCGAGAATGGCATTCCGTTCAATGTGGCCAATTCACTTTCATTTATTAACATGTGTCGAGCAATAGGTAATTAAAATCATTCAATCATTAGGAGGTGGTGTTGACACAAGCCTGTCCCGGTACATGATCAACGGATAGCAATTCATGTTCTTAGCACCAGATTCCAACACCCTGACCAGAGACTGAACTTCAAGAGCGACCTCCAACCCAATAGTCAACATATATAAAGAATCAAGATCATTCCAATTTTGTTGCTGATGCTGGAGGATGGAAGAATCAAGACAGAATCTGACAGTTTCCCTGTAGGTGCCACTCACAAGCAACAGGAAAACAGCAGCTGTTCTTCTAGCCACAGAAAAAGAAATTGGCAAAGCGGGATCTTCCGACAGGAAAAACAAATGTTGACTGAACATAACTTTCTGAGAGGGCAATTTATAGGCTTGAGGTCAATAGGCAGCCACTTAATATTTCTCACTTTCTCCCTCCTTTTTAATGCATCTACAGCTTTCAGTTGGTGAATTTCATCAAACGCCTTCTCCTCAAAAGACTGGAGTTCGTTTTTCAAATCACAGTTATTCAAAAAGCTGGGATCTAAATGCATCTCCTTAATTATTATGGGTTTTCCATCTTTATTTGACTTGTTTAAATCACCATTCACCAGTCAGACCTCTTCTAATAATTCTCTGCACAATTCAATTATTAGTTCATCAGAGAAGTTGAAATCGCATGCCCCTATAGGAGTTGATGACACAGGTTCTTCAGTTGATGTCCACTATAATTGGTACATCATTTCAGACTTTGAAATCGCATGCCCCTATGGCAAGTGTCTTCTGTACAAGCTGGGAAGAAATTATGGATTTTCCAACACAAGTAGTACTTGGAGGAAGTCTTACTAGTGAGGAATCCAGCAATTGCGCTAGCTTCAGGTCTAATGGCAACTATAGATTGCTCGTAGCGTTCATCCTCATCCTCAGTGAACGCATCTTCAGAGGAAGATTGCCGCAGACTCATATACTCCTGGCGGAACGTTGAAGCCTGTGAACAGTGAAAAGTTGCTCGGGGCGGAACATGCGAACCGGGAGGATTGGCAAGCGCTGACACCTGCGGGCGGGAATATTCTGCTTGCGCTGGCTTACTGAGAGAAGAGGTTTGCGACCAAACCTGCAAACTCAGAGAAACGGTTAGCGACTGCAAACTGTGAGACGAGGTTCGCAACTGCAATTGCGAACTGGAAACAGCCGCTAACGAACGACTGTCATTCTGCTGGACCAGTAAATTGCGCATCTCCGCAATCGTCTTGTTACTGTTGCATTCCACCTTCCGCTCTATCGTTTCCAATCTGCTTTCCATATTTGTGAGCGTAACAACCATTTACAGGTAACAGGAATCTAGCTCTGATACCAATGATAGAGAACGCACCAATTTACAGAGTTTTTGAGAGCTAGAGATCAAAGGGGACAGAATACAATGGCTGTTATTATTCCTCCCTCCCCTTCTACGTAGTATTTTTATTAAAGATTGGCAAGTGGCAACTCTCCGATCCCAAGCCTATAGAATAATCCTAGCCTACCTCTTATTCCTCCCTCCCCTTCTATTTATTATTATTATTATTATTATTATTCTCAGCACTAATCTGCCCAGTTCCTAACAAGTGTCAACATTAGATGGTTAGAAAAGGGGAGAAGGGCCAAAATGGACATTAAGGCTATTGGTGGAGCTCAGGTTGGACACTAAACTTTTATGTAGACCAAATCAACACACTTTAAGTTTTTGCCTCATACTTAGATTTTGGACAATGGTAATGTAAGCATTAAACTTATGGCTTTTCCTGCCAATTATGAAGTATATGATTACCAACTCCCATTTCTTCTCCGGTGAAACCCTGAGCTTCATCACACCCCCACAACCCCAAAGTGTTTTTATTTACTAATAGGAAACTTTTGCTTGCACAATCGATTAAAAAATCCAATTCCAAGGCCACTAACAAGTTGCTGCATTCATCTTCTTGCCTATCACTCCCCCAGGCGGCTATCAATAATTAATAAGGAGTAATACTATACCAAGAACTCCTTTGGATCAAGCTGAAAACCCAAACCCATCCCGTAAACCTCCTCCCTCTAAGTCAACCCACAAAAATGCAGGCAATGCAATGGAGGAACTGACCATCCACATTTCCAGAGGTTTGTGATTAAAACGAGGGGGTCAGGCTGGGTTTGGGAGTTGATCCTTCTTCAGGTAAGTTTTCTCAGCCAATTAATTCAAACTAATGTTAGTTATTGATGGGAATAAACAGTACAGAAACTGATGAGTCCAGCAATGGAAGTAGTGCAGCTACAGTGAGTTGGTTTTCCATGATATTAGAAGAAAATTAATTATATGGCGGGACAGAATATCATAGAGCCCGCATGCATGTGCTCAATGACCCATAATTGTGTTATATACCAGTCTATAAAGGAGATTTAAGGCCTCTGAGTTGCTTTTCCCAGCATCTCTTGAATTTAGGGTGCAACCTAATGTGGTTAGGACCAGTGTTTATCACAGCCATTTTGTGGGTGCCCAATTATGATTGAAAAGGATTATTTTTGTGTTAATTATGTACAACCATGGTCTGATCAAAAGTTTAATAGCCAAACCAAACTTTTAAGTCCATTCTACCTGTTCTTCATCAGAAAAATAGAGAAATAAACCTTTTATAGTTTAATAGACTCAACCAATTACTTGGTTGAGTGTATAACAATTTGTGCTTTTGAGTTCAAACTTAAAAAGGGACAGAACACAAGTTCGTCATATGGCAGAGTTTGGAGGGCTTAGTATATATCTTGATATATACTTCGTATAATACATTTGAGATTTTATATATAAAGGAAGATTGACATAATACATCACCGTATAACATTCTAATCACTTTATTAGTTTTCAGAAACATTGTATTGATCGGGATATAGAGTATAGACGAAGTCCTTCAAACCCTCCATCCAAACACACCCTTTAGAGGCAGCATGTATGTTCATAAACAATTTGAGGTTTTGAACGCTAAGACTTGCCCAGAACATGAAAACAAGGAAGAATAGGTTTTGGATGCAACATTTATGGATAAACTCACTTGATACTGAGCAGGAGATCAAATGTAGCCTCCCCGCTAACAAAGGTAACCAAAGTGTACTTAAGAGGTGTATAAAATTACAGCTGTGTCTGCTTAAAGGTGGAATGTAATCTTTCCATATAATTATAATTGCATTTACTTAATATACTTATAGTAATATAACTTGAAAAAAGGAAACGTCAATACTTGATTAATCTAACTCTAATCTTAATTCAACTTTGAAAAGCAGGAGACGGGAAATACAAACTATACATCAATTTCCATAATTGATTACTAAGAGCTCACACAGAAAAGTAAGAAATTATACCTTAAAATCCGAAATATCTTGTCCATTATGCTGCTTCTTTGGGGTTGAGAAGAGCTGCAGGTTGAAATGAGCACCAAGTGAGGCTTGATGGAAGAATGATGCCCATTGCCTTTCAGAGACTACATTGTGAGATGGTACAGCGAGATTCTTGATGGATGTTGAAAGTGCATAGACTGTAGCAAGCAGCCTCGATACCTGTTCGTAAAACATCGCAACTCATTTTAATAATTTGAAAGAAGCACTCTTTGAAAGTTATTATCCATAATCACACCTAATCTTAATGTAGAAAATGTGAAGTGGATGCTAGAGAGAATATGGTTTCTACCTTTTGAAAATGTAAAGGAACCTCACGGCTCTGAATAAAGGCTACTTTTAACCAATAGACTATCTTTGATATATTCACAGAAGAAAAGTCACAATTACTTTTACAACATAGTTTCCTGTTCGATAAAGTCCAACAAAAGACAACTGTTAAATCATAGAATGAAACGGAAGATAAATGAACATGCAATTGACTGTTCTACAAAGGGAAAAGAAAATTGCATGCTCAGGGAACAAAAGTTGCCTGGTGAAGAAGATTTGAGCATCAAATAGTATATCAATACTGAAGATAACATTCGCAACTGGTCATTACCCAGAATGTACCTAGAAGATTATTTATGAACCTTGAGAATATTTGCATACAAAAGATCGCATGGCATCCAATACATTGCATTGTATATAAGACTTTGAATAACAGATTAACAGATCACTCATGGCTGAATGGTTACATAGTAACAATCTTAACCCATAAAGCTTCCTCCAGCCACTAAGTGATTCAGCAAATAAAAAAATAAAACATTCGATATTAGTAAGATCTGAAGGCCCATTATAGGCTTATAGCACTAGACAGTCAAGTCTATGGCTCAGTTTAGAAATTTAGATAAAAACTAAATACCCCTCCGTCCACTATCTCTATCTCATTTCTTTTCGTGTGTCACACTATGTCTGTCTCATACCATATTTGGAAATATATTGGTGGTTCAAATTCATTCATACTTTACAAACTCAATATAAGAACATACTTCAACTTTCCTTAGCATGTTTCCACTTTCTCAACTTTCCTTAGCATGATTTCATTTTAAAAGATTAAGCTGATAGAGAGAATGACTCAAAGGCTTATATTCAATAGTTAGCAATGTGCGACAAATTCTTCACACCCACCTCAAGGCAAGTTTCTCGATCATGCAATCTTTCTTTTCTCATAGGGCACACATTCTTAAGATTCAAAAACTCATTTGAACCATGTAAGTTTTAAAAAGCATTTGCAGACATACCATGAATAAAGCCGCAACATTGCAAGCACGTTGGAATAAGAATTGTAGAAAAAATGTGACTATATCATAGTACATAGATTGAAAATAAGCTCATCCAATGTCATCCTAGATATTGCTGGTGAAGTGTCATCCAAGTATGTTTATAGTTTCAATATTAACACATTATGAGCAAATATTTGCAGAAAACAGTATAACATTCAGATAATATAAGTCAAGGTGTAGGCTGCATGAACAAATGGATTGAATAATACCTAGTCGCTTTGCAATAATTACTTTTCAAAGCTGACCAGCAAATGTAATAAAGCATTTCTGCATGATAAACTGCAAATAACTTTGACCAATTATTCTTTTCCACCTGGTCGAGCAAGGAAACAAAAGAAAGAGAAGAATATTGGGGGCATGATGGATCTCTAGTGACCAAATATACACTTCGAAGAAAGACCTTATGAGCCTCATGGTTCTCATCGCATAGACAGGAGCATTTTCCTGACAAGGTAAAAGAATGTCAGATCAGATAGAAAGTACAAAAGCAACAAAGAGCAGTCAAATCACACAAAAAAACATAGCAATGTATATATAGTTGCATACTACCTAAGCTAATTAACATCTGCTGTGAGAGATTTCTTCGAATAAGCTCCCATTTAAAGCATATCAAAGTGCTCATACACCCAGAATGAAGAGCCTCAAGAGTAAGATAGTGCCAACAGGTCAGTCTGTAGCAAGTGGCTGTAAATCCACAAGAACACAATCAAATTAGACCAAAGTCGTGACAGTTTTTGTTTCCCTTGACTCTTGTTATGAATTATAAGCGACCTAAATGAAGTGCTTACAGTTCAACTCCATAGCAGTATCAGACTGTGCATGCACAGTTTCGCAGCTTTTGTTTAGAGAATGATATCTAGATCTGGTCAACCTTATGCCAGACTCTAAGTCCTTACCCTTCCTAATAATTACAGTCTCGATTGCATTTTCGTGTTTCCTACACTTTGATGAAACCTCATCCACAACTGATTGAGCAGTTTCATGATAAGAAAGTGAATTAGCTTTGTGCTTGGCATGCTTAGAATCAACTACCTTGCGACCACCAAAAAAATTATTTTGTTCAGAGGGAGCCAACTTGTCAATGGCAGACTTGTAATTCTCTTTAGCAAGTGTTAACTCCTTTGAGATAGAATTTTCTAGATCACTACAAAACCGCTTTCTGTATATATCTCCAAAAAGCTTATCAATAGTAACTTCAAAAACAGCTCTGCACTTGCAAGAAGATGCACCGAAACTATCAGCCAACGCTTTCTTAGCTGTTTGAGTTTCCTTTTCAGCCATCTCCCATAGCTCCTGTTTAATGTAAATTTGACCTGTAAAAAAGTAGATGAGAAATAAAGCCAATGAACAAATCCTACAAAATTGAGGCACATAGGCATTCATTCATAGAAATATAGGAACTAAACGAATCACCTATAATGCAAGAAAATGAAACTATGAAAAGTGGCAAGCTCTGGGAGCACGAGATGACTTTTCCCGACTGTAGATAATATTTGGCCGCATCTTCATTTCCAAGAATCTCACTAATGATTCCAACCTATGATAGAATTGATCAATTCTGTAACAATTCACCAAGAAAGATCAAGAAAGTAATCTGTAGTTTTATTATTAAGAGAGAGAATATGAACAATTACAAAGACCGTAGTCCCCAAAAGATAGAGTCAACACTCTTATCTTCCCAGCCAAGACTCAATAGTCCAAAAACCGTCCCCCCAACTATTCCTAGTCTATTTCTATTTATAGTATTCCTGGCTAACAGAAAGTAATTATTAGCTATTAACAACTATAACTAATACTACAACTTTATTTACTCCTTCGAACATATATTCTGCCAAAATACTTATCCCTGAGTTCTGAATATTTGAGCTCCTATCAACCTATTGCAATATATGAACACACTAGAACTTCAGATTTTGCGCAAAGAATAGCATTTACAGTCAAGAGATAATTGAGATACATGTAAGGACATAGACCTGCAGAGTGCTTTCAAGATAGCATTGGAGCACATTCCAAGGAGTGAGCATGCAGCCTTCTGAATCAAAAGAAAGACTTTCACAAAACAAAGCTTCTGTAGCAACTGAATCATATATTTGGAATGATGCAAGATGGTCGTTCCCATTCTGCTTCTCAATGTGATACAGGAACTTCCTATTTAGAAGGGCTTCTCGTAAACGGTATGAGGCTTTTGCATACGAAAAAGCCTGAATGCACAAATGATATTAGTATTGCACAATTTTGGGATACACCCGAATTATTTACAAAAGAATTTTGAGTTACTTCAGTTAGTTGTCCGCTTTGAATTAATCTTTCACTCAAGTCATAATAGAGATAAGCTGAAAGGAAAGCTGAATCACTTGATAGAGGAACCTGACACAACAAAATTAAAATATAAACAAAAAACAAAGACCTTGGTCAACATAAACTATGATGAATAGAATACGTAAGTGCAAAGTGAATTTATCAAAACAGCTTACACTGGAAGGAAGATCTAATGCAGTGAGTTTCACTTTACTATCTGAAATATCTGATTGTAGGAATATGTTATAGTTACACGGATTTTGAGAAGAAAGAGAGAAAACCGCATGGAAGCTCTGATGAAACCCAACTAGTAATGGTTGTGATGCCTTCAGACAATTTGTCCAGTATTCTAAGGAATTGACAGCTTCACCACAATGTTTTGATAATGCTTCGATGAAAATACCGTTAACAGGCAAAGCACAGAGAGCATGACTAAGTCTTCTATGTTTCCATAGCCATGACAACAATATCTCTAGTGGAATCTTTTTCAGTTTAGATAACTGTATGATCACCTCAAAAATTTCAATATGAGATTCCAAGTTTCCCTATAGTGGTAAATACACCCAAAAAAGGCACTATCAGGGGCCATCATTATCTCCAAAAAATCCCATAATCATTACTCATATACTTTTCAGTAGGTACTGATCAGACATAGAATTAAAAGCCTACCTTAATTGATAATAAGTCAATAATCTGATAGAGCAAATTCAACATGGCTTCTGACAACATATTACACTGACCAGATGCATGGCACACATGAGGGCTCATTAACACTCTAACTGCAGCATAAATATCTTCATAGAGCAGCTGCTAAGTAGAAATTCAAAATTAATTATCAATAAAATGCTTCATATGTTCACTTTATAGGGCATCTAAGTGAACTTCTGATCTAGCTAATACAAAAATTACAAGCAGAATGTAAACACAATAGCGGTGGAGAAGATATATGGTGTATGTGTTCAGTTTAAAAGAGATGAAATCAAGGTGGAGAAGCTCCAAAGTTAACTGCTTTCATGAGTTAATGGAAGAATTTTCCCTCTTACTCCCTTTCACTCTCTTAAAAAGAAAAAACAACAAATGTGTTTTCCCTGCTGTTTTTCAGGAATATAAGCCCAAATTATTACTCATATAAGAATGTATAATTCGTATGACAAAATAGTCTCTTTCATTGTAACACCTTTGAGTTTAGTTCAATCTCATTGGTACATAGTGCACGTATGCAATATGCCCGAGCAACTATATCGCAAGCTGAATCCGTGCAGCTATTTTTTTCACCTTCTCTTTCTTTTGCCGCAAAACGCTTTTCCTGGAAAAAGTACAGCATTCCTCTGTAACATTACTGTCAAAAGTCAAGTACAAAAAACCCCAATGGACTCAAAACAGCAAACAAGAAAAACAAAAATTTAACTAGGAATGGCTTACCATTGTAGATATTGCTTCAGATAGACACCAAATACAATCACGACAAAGTCCTTGACCTCTTAACACCTCAGATTTGGTAATAAGAACTCTAGATTTCTGCAAGTAAGTGTCCTCTGTAGCATAAACTTTTTCTAAAAGAATGCTGATGATCTTCAGTCTCATTTTCTGACATAAACTTTGGTTCATACTTATCAAATCTTTATATGCTTGAAGCTCCTATAAAGTCAATATGAAAGACAATTAATTCCCAGCATCTTTACAAAGATGGACAATAATACCTTCGACACAATGAAAAATGCAAAAATAGGAAGAATACAACCTCCTCTAGTATTAATCCTACAGTTCCTCTAAATTCTTCTGAAGATGATAATATAGGGTACAACAATGTGGCATCTTCCTCTATATCCACATCCTTGGGGAGTTCCAATCTTATCTGACATATACGTCCAGGTTAGGAAAAGTATAGCATAAGGATTCTATCGATAACGCCGGGCATTAAAATGTTACCTTAACGAATTGTTTCACAATAACAGTGGGACCTGGAAGTGTGCCAAGCAAGCATTTTGCCACCGACCAGCTTTTGAGGCAATCAATGAGAATCTCCTCAACCTCATTACTGCTACAACTATGGTAGAGTAGATCCAAAAGGTTAGCAATTTTGGAAAATGCGTTATTAATGAATCCTATCACAAAATCTTCTGACAATTCATATTGAAGCTCATTTGATATGTGTGAAAACTTTTCACAGCTCCTTAAGATGCATGCTGAAGACGCTTTGCTATATAACTTGAAAGCCTTGGAAGCCTGAAAAATGAGAGCAGGCGTTTGGGAAGTTTTTTATCTAACTTAAGGAGTTGATTTGGTAATGGATGGAAATAACAAAATTCCAGACCAAAATTCGAATTGAGAGATAATATGGACTCAATACGCAAAGCTTGTGAGATTTAAATTCCAATAGCATCTTGTATATCAATAAGTACCTCTATCATTTGTTTGCTGTTGTAAGAAATAACAGCAAGATTGTAAAGAGATGTACATAGATACTTAAGCCTATTTACGTGAATATCACTCTGAATGAAATATTCTAGAAACTTGACATTTTCCTGCAACAAAGATCCAAAAGTAATTGTTTAGTTTTAAAATAAAATGCAGAATTTTTATCTTATGACCTAACACAAAAAGTGCTTATAAAACTATTACTAGTCATTATACAATGTCAGGAATGAGGTGATCAGAAATTAGAAATTTCGGTGGCATAAAAAGCTAGGCAAACCTCCATATTGTGCTTTGTTCTCAAAGAGAGTGAAAAGGCAGCTACAGCTACTACAGCTACATGTATGTTTCTACTTTTCTCATCACAATCCTTGTGCTTGCTGGAAGGTCCACTGCATCAGTAAACGACTGAAAGCCTTAAATTCTATGCATAGTCATTGGTGGAATTGTTCAACCAAATGATAAAAACAGTGATAGAGGTAAATGGATGTTGAATGCCAAAAAGGTGGAATCATTCAACCAAAAACAAATAAATACTGATAAGAGAGAAATAGATACTGATCCTCGAAAGAGATAAACTAGTCTCAATGAAATGCTTAAAACCAAACCATTTCAGTTACACTTGCAATAAAGTTGGTGCTGTCCTGCATGGTAAATGCATAATAACGTGGCTTACATGTGGTATTGGATAAACACATGGCAGTATTGACTCAGGGCATCCTGGAAAACATATAGACTTTCCATTTCTGTAAACTCCTCCCCTTGTTCTGAATTAATCAACTGAGCTAGAGGATGGCATAAGAATTTTAAGGCATCAAAATATGATGGTAGGAATTGAACATGTTTATGTGGCGAGTTACTCTGTTTGATGCCAATATCTAAGCCAACTTTCAATAAATTGAGCAAAGATTTCAATTTCTGAATAATGTCCCCTTGACTAAGCAAAATCCTTAATGCAGATCCATCTTTCGTGTTTCCTTGGATGGTAGAGTGAGATGCAAAATGAAGGATAGACAAACTAGTTGCATAAATCCCAATAATCCATCCGGCAGTAGACCCGCCCTTCAAAAGACTATTTGTCATAAATTGAACATATTTTTAACAAGTATAAAGAAGTTAACAAAAAAAAATCACCAAGATTGAAGTAGGCTACCTGATTGGGATCCACTGATTTATTTAATTTTCTTTTAAGATTAAGGGATAGTTCTTCAAAGTGCATTGCAACATCACTAGAAATACTTGTTATTATTCGACATTCATTTGCAGAATAACCTATTAGTTCCAGATATTTTATTATAGTGCTCTCACTGCCATCCTGCAAAGTAACAAGGAGATATGTTAATAACACAGAGTGAATCCAGTGAGCTAAATCATCATTAATAGAAAAGAGTCACTATACAAGGTTAGTGTGGACAAAACATGCTGGAGTTTCAATGTTAATACAATATTATGGACAAATTCATTACCTTGCATTCATTGGACATGGATTCCAGTATAAATTTTAAAAATTCTACAGTATCAGAAGCTTGTTGTTGTGCAAAGAGAGAAGAACATATATTACTTGCAAACTGCAGAAGAGATACAGGGCAGATGCATACATAAGTATCTTTGCAGATGTAAATCAATAACAGCCCCAGATAGTCAGATGTATTTTACCTTCCACACTTCATCTCTCTCAGATGATCCTCTATACAGATCAAATATTAGTTCGCAAAACCTGCGCACTAAATGCCAACCAAAGCGCACTGAATCCTTAGACAGAAACAAAGCAATTCTGCTCAAATATTTCAGAAGCATCTGAAGCATTTTATCCTGTGCATTGACTTCTAAAACCCTAACCATCACGCAATGGGAAACCTTTGTTAATATATATGCTATGGAACTGTGCAAGACACATAAAGCTACAGTAGTTTTAACTGCAAAATCTAAAACTTGAACTGTTCTAAGTTATAAGATCAACTAAGCTAGATGGATCAGAGAGAGGAAGGTGGGTGTGTCTCACTTGAACCAGGGGGAGGCTTCATTGACCAAATTGAGGATCCTATTATAATCTGAAGTGTCGTTACTTTGCTTCAGCAAAGCACACCTGACAATTGTTATTGCAACGTCCAACACCATCCAAGCATACTCTTGGTCCACGTTTACTCCATTCAAAGGCGGCAACAACTCCCTCCTCTCTGAAACTGCCGATTTTGACCCTGCCCCTTCGAAGTAGCAATCTCCCTGAAGGTTGTCCAGTACAAGGAATGCTTCACGTTCTGCCTCTTGGTACATCTTCCATGCCTCCAGACAGCCTATGAAACGCAATTTCTGTTTTTGAACTGAGTAAGGTTTTGCGACCAGCTGCGAAGACACTAAATCGAGGCGGCATAGGCAGAGCCTATAAATTTTGAGCAGATGGAGCGCGGATTCCTCGGAAATTTTGGAGGTCTCGGAAAGGCGTTTGGGAAGTAGCGATAATGCTTTGTTTAGAAACGGAAGGAATCGTTTGGTTAGAGCTCGGATGGCGGTAAAGTTCCCGGTGGATTTGGATGAGTTGTCCGGTTCAGCAATAGAGGAGAATTCGTAGAGGTACTGATTAAAACCTTCGTAGGTCTTTCCTGAGAACTCGACCGCAGATTGGAGTTCAAATAAGAGGTTAACGGATGTATCCGCGTCGGCGGCGGAGCCCATAGAGGTTGTCGAGAATCGGCGGCAAATGAGAGTGAAGGGTGGGGGACTAGACTGAACTGCGAGTTTTTCTAGTGAGCGGGAAAATGAAGTCGACTCACTGTGCCTTTTTCAAACCGGATGATGGGAATTGAGCAGTATTCCGAAATAGGATTGTCATGTTTTTTATTCTCAAAATACGAGTAATTACTGCCAAGTTTTGAAAATACTGCCACGTTTGAAGTCTGATACTGCCAAAACGTGACAGTAATTAGTCCTGTTTTGGAAATAAAAACATATCAGTCCTATTTTGGAATTTTCAAACCTTTTTAGTCCTATTTTGGGTAAATCAGTCCCATCTTGTGACTAGTGACCAGACAAAACCAATGACACTAGTTTCCATCCCTCTCCATCTTATGACCTTAGTGGTCAGACTACACGTTAACATTCTCTTTGACCCGCTGCTCTTTGATCACTAAGCCAAATACCAAAACACCTACGTGATCTCCAGCCTTAGCATGACCCGTTGCACCAATCCATTCCCCTCACTCCCTAATCCCGCCCTTTGTCCAATCCCAATCAATTGCACCATTTCAATGTACATCAACACATGCCCGTGCCCATGCCCATGCATTCCTCCCCATCCGCGTCCCAATTACCCCCCTGCCCGGACCCCCTTCGAGCCACATCAAAAACATAGATATGTGGATTGTGAACAGAAAGAAGGAGAAGAGGATGAGATCGGAGGCGGTAGCATAGTGTTGCAACAAGGGAGGTATCTAGCGGTCCGAGATCATCGCCGGCTAAGAACGTTGCCACCGTCGACGATGACGAAGCTCGCAGCTACATATGGTGATGCAGAGGCAAATGGCGGACGACGGCACGCAGATATGACCGTTGGTCGGCGTCGATGGCGAGGCCTATACCCGGTGGCAATGTGGAGCCCCTTGCATATGCCCAGCGATGAGCATGTGGAGCCAATCGCAGGTGCCCAGCGATTAGGTTTAGGTTCTTATTTAGGGGTCACGTTTCTGTCCATATTAAATTTAGTCATATTTTTATCTAATCAAACTCCATAAATAATATTAGGGTCGTTTTCGTGAATATATTCACTCAACACACATATTTTTAATTAAATGCATATATCCTTACTTTTTTTATTACACATGATAATTTTTTTTACCAATAATTATGATTTAAAAAGTCAAACATTCTAATGTAAAAATAAAGAATGTGAATTACTGTTTTTGCAATTGTTAAACTTGCGCACTTGAGTTCAATTTGAAATAAATTTAAAATTATTATTTTTCATTTTAATACTATGTACTTGTTGAATATTAAGATGAATCAATTGAAACACATGTTATCAAATTGAAATATCAACTACTCCCTATCAATTACTAGAAACACACATGATATTGAGTACGATAATAAAAAAGAGGAACACATCTTAATACATTACAATTCAATAACGAGAAAAACCATAAACAGTAGTAGCATCATTGAACAGAAAAATGAAAAAAGTTAACAAAAAAAAGAATAACTCATCACCAGACGGCGTTCCCGTGATGGCCCCACAAATAATTCACGAGAGCATTTTTAAGAGCAGTGTGCACTGCAGTGCTCTTAATGCGATTATGTCGCATTATGTAGTCATGCAAAGCCTGGGCATCGCGATTAAGATCAAATCGAATGTGCAGATCAGAACAATATAGTCATACTGCGCTCTATAGTCTTGAGTACTTGCATCACAACGGTTTCTTCATACTCGTCTTCTACAATCATGTTGTGTAGGATAATGCATGTGAGCATTATGTCGCCATATGTTTGTGTCTGGTGCATTCATTAGGGCCCTCGTACGATCGCACATTGTGTATGTAAAATGCCAAACGCTCTTTTCCACAGCTTTGTGATAAGCTTCTTGCTTAGCAGCAAAGAGGCGTTTCTTGGGGGTGTTAGGGTGACTAATTGTTTTAACAAAAGTAGCCCATGTGAGATAGATTATGTCGGTTAATTAATGAAATTGATTGTATAAGTTATTATTTACTGTGTAATTGACTTGAGGAGTGCATTCATTAACAACATCATCAAACATTGGAGAGCATGCAAGTATGTTAAGGTCATTGTTGGCACCCGTCGTGCCGTAAAATGCATGCATATCCATGTATCGTACGAAGCAACAACCTCAGGCACAATAGTTGGTTTGTGCTTGTGCCCAATGAACTGTCTCGCCCACGCCGTAGGACAATTCCTCCATTCCCTGTGCATACAGTCGATGGAGCCAATCATGTCGGGAAATCCTCTTCTTGAAGCCTTCTCAAGAAGGCGGTGGAGGATTATCGGGGTTTGGTGTGCGCAAGTACCGAGAACCATATGTTCTGCTACTCGCCTTGCAAAAATTTTTCAAACTCGACAAAGTTGTGCTCTTCACTAGATGGCACAATTGATCTAATGAATCAACAGAGCAACCATTTGCTGGCATGAATATGACACTTGTTATTTTTTGTTAAAGGAGAAAGTGAGACATTATTTAGCGCATCTTTCTTCAGTGCAAATAAAGGATTGGCTCGCACCACATCATTCATTATGCGATCAAACAAAGCCGGTTTCATGCGAAAACGATGTCGGGAGATGTGAGCGTTGTAAGTTGGATTTGGACTCCAATACTCATCCATCAAACGCTGGCGACCATCTTCCCTGTCTCCGTCAGTGTACTCACGACCACCGGGGTTTGAAGAAATAAGTGTCGCCATAACAGCCATTCTCATACAATGAGTGTCGGCCTCGCCATCATCATACTCATCTAGGGCTTCTATCATATCGGGATAAGAACTCATGATAACGTAATATATTTGAGCGTATATATAATACGAGGAGGATTGAGTGTGAGTAGATTGTGAAGTGATGCATCTTTTTTCTTTTCTTTTTTTATACAAAAATATGAAATAAGTGTTAAGATATTTTACAACCAAGTGGGTACTAATTTGATAGGAAATGACCAAGCAAGTGGATACTTATTAGATGTGAAATGAACAACCAAGTTGGTCCATGTTAGATGTTAAAGGATTGAGCAAATTAGTACTAATTAGATGTGAAATGAACATCCAAGTGAGTGCTTATTATATGTGAAAGGATAAGGCAAGCGGTGATTAATTCAAACATGATTATAAAAATAGTACAATTGCAAAAAACAAATACGCAAATACTAAATACTAAAATAAAAATAACTAAATACTAAATACCAAATAGGAAAACACTACACTATTTTTTAACTACAGAATTATATAACAAAAACCGAAATACGACATTACCAATGCAACCATCCACCCCCAGTCAAATCTAGAGATGGCAATTGTGACCGATCCGATGGATACCCGCACCGAACCGCCCCGGTCAAAATGGGGAAAACTGCATTGACCGGGTAATGGGTACGGGGCGGGGAATACCCGTTTTGTTTTTACGGGTAACGGGGCGGTTACGGTTTTATGCATGCCCGCCCCATTACCCGCCCCGTACCCGCCCCGTTTATTTTTATTTATATTTTTATTACATTCTTACCATTATTTTTCCCACAACTAATAAAAGATGAGATTTTTAATGTTCATTGTGTATATATGAATAATAGATATACTAACTATAGTGTAAGAATGAAAGTTCTCAATAGAACTTAATAGCCTTGTTTGATTATTACTTCATATATGATTTTTCGTGATTAATTACTTTTCAGATTAAGTATTTTTTAGGTTCAAATTAATTTAGGTTGTCTTCTTTCTCGTCTTATAGATATATGAAGCTTTAAAGTGGCGTCTGAATCTAGCATCGTCTAGGTGGTGCCATTTTTCGCCTTTAAAATATTATTTTTTATTAAAATATCAATGACTCATTTAATAAAGTGATTACCCGCGGTTACCCGTGGTTATAACCGTCACCCGTTGGGGCGGTTATGGTTTGGATAAAAATTACCCGTTGGGTAATGGGGCGGTTATGGGGCGGGAGAATTACCAAACGGGCGGGTACGGTTATATGTAAAACCGTCCCCGATCTGCCCCGTTGCCATTCCTACTCAAATCTAAGAAAGTAGTAATCTCCATGCACAGAAGTGGCAGCATCGCTACTCGGAGCATCTTGATGACTACTGGAGTCTTGTAGTCGCATCATCATTCACCTTCGCCGCCTCATACCTCTCCTCTCTTATTTTACTCATTAACTAGCCTTGTATCATCTTTCTTTCCGTGAACTCAAGCATCACAGGTTCCGTCTTCGAATTCTTATTTTTTTGGCTATTTTCTTTTCCTTTGTTTGTCACGCCGCTCAGGACGTTGTAGATGACCACTTGCACCGTCGGAAGGAGAGGAACCACTACCTACTCCGACAAATGTATCAGGAGTGATTGAAGTTACAAGCATAAAAGTTGAAGTGCTATCATATTGTTGATAACACTTCGGACATGCTTAAAGAATATACCAAACATGGTCAAACTTAAAGGGTTCGTCACTGATAACACTTAGCTAACAAAAGTTGATAGACATATGGGCATGAAATCTGAGAAAGAAGTATGCCTATCTAACTTAGGAATAAGGACAATAAGAGAACTTCGCGTGGCCTGTGGGATACGATTACCCAAGAAAAATTCTTGAACAACCTTTAATAAATCCAGCCCAACACTATCCCACTGAGTCCTGATAAAGTGACATTGAATCCATCAGGACCAGAAGCACTTTCTTTATTTAGCTCCCAAACTGCCCTTTTTACTTCCTCTAAATCTGGCATTTTTAAAAGAAGATGATTATCATCCTGAGTGACCAGTTTGGGTATGTTTTGCAGGACCTCATCAAAATCTACCTCCTGAGAATCTGAAAAAAGTTTTTGAAAAAATTCAGTTGCAGCTTTCGCTATATCGTCCCCAGAAGATAGAGTAAACCCATAACTGCCAAAAGAGTGTTATTTGGGTAATCGTTTGCCTCCTTTTTCCGATGTTCACAAAAGCATGAAAGAAATGTGGGTTAGCATCTCCCTCCTTAAGCCATCTAAAATGAGATTTCTGTTGCCAGAAAGCACAAGCTTGTTTATGCTTAGTTAAAAGTAACCCTTGCTTCAG